ATTAATTCAGTGCAGGGTGTGACAGTTGTAGGAAGTACTGGAAAAGCAGCTGGCTGAATGGTCTTGTGATTGCAAAATTCTGGAGTTTTTACAGACTTAGAACTCAGGCCGGGTTTGGGGATGTGTCAAAATATATGGGCTTTTGGGGAAAAGATGATCTGTTGTAGCTCCTGAGCCCAATTTAGCTTGCTTCTACATCTTAAGGTGGCAGGAGCAATTTGGTGCCAGGGTGGGGGTGGGGGGCACACAAAGACAAATGCACCAAGAAAACTTCCCGAAACTTGAATTGGGGAAGTAAAACCTTATTAGCTTTTCTTGGTACATACTATTTAAAAATATTGCGTCTACTTCTTTGTGCTATGCTTCACATTTGTCTGTTTTTTAGTCTAGGAAAGAGATTCTTGAAAAATGTCCCCATCAACAGCTTCTAAATATCATACTAAGCCTCCCCTACCACAATTCCCATTCCTTCCTCACTTCTCGGGCCTTAGTGGACTTCTCTAATAGTAGAGGAGGTGACCAGAAATGGCTAAGACATTTAACTTTTATTCAAGAGACTCAAAGTTGAGTGGCAGAAAGATTCCAGTAGAGGCCTAGGTACTAGAAGATCTGGACACCCCTCCCCCCACCCGCCACCTGCTTAGCCTGTGTAAGGGACACTGAGACTTCATTCGCACTCTGGCTCTGCTAACTAGCTATGTGGTTCTGAGCAACTCACTTAAGTTCTTGGGGTCTCTGTTTGTAAGTGAAGTGTTTGGACTAGGGATCCCCACTTTTCCTTTATCATAAAAGTCCTATGATTACCAGTGACCCACTCAAGCCCCATTTTCCTAATCTTTAAAACAGGGAGAGTAATATCTGCTTGTCTACTCGTAGGGATGGGGTAAAAGTATATGTGAAAAGCTCAGTGAGCCTTAAAACACAGTACAAATGTCAGTTATCATCATTATCATTAGAATTCTTTACACAACTCTCTCCATGTCTTCTACCATTTCTGCTAAAGAGCAATCCAGTGCCTTATAGGAATTCCTAAAATTCAGTCCTTGGTTTGATGAACTAGGAGGCAGATGTCAGCTCAAGGAGATGTTGCAAACGACAATGGTATCTGAAAGTTCTTCTTAAGGAAGTGGGCTAAGGCTTCCCTCGGTCCCCAGAGAGAGATGGCCTCTCCTCGATCTTATGCAAGGGCATGAACAGAGCTTATTAACAAACTTGTGTTCTCAGATGGGGCTTTGCCCAAAGAATGAAAAGGCCTTGGAAGTTCCAAGGGCAATAATGGTAATTTGAGGTGCTTGTCTTTTGCCTAGCATCTGTGCGTTTCCAAGTCTTTGACTGACATTAACTCATCAGTACTCCCAACACTACCTCAGCCTTCAGTATTGCCTTTGGGGTGGCAGGAAGGGAGGTTATCCAAGCTTTGTATTCAGAGAAAGCCCCTGGGCTGAGAGTGATAGTTCCTCTGTCCGCGCCTGGTGATTAGTTCTTCCGCCACCAGTGGCAAACCGTCTCATCTCTGGTCCCCCACTACCAGGACTCTGGTTGTGCCCTCCCAGCGCCTTGCCCAGCATCATGGTGTCAGAACTGAATTGACTCCTTAAAGACTCCCTGCAGGGGCCAACTCCTTTGATGGTGTAAGATTGAGGCATTCAATCCACCCAGAGAGGAAGTGAAACTCCCAAGGCAACATAGCTGGCTAGAGCCGCAGTCAGTAACCTGTCTTAAGAGGCAAAAACTAGAAACTACCCTCCACCCTCACACCCCCATATACCCTAACAAATTAAACACTCTTGGTGTCCCTCGAGGAATCAATAAACCTGAGGGGTACGGGGAAGAGGAGAGACATCATGTATGTCTACCTGATCACACAGTGCGGTTTCTGTTGCCACCTCTGAACAGCTGTCTCATCCTAGTTAACAGTGGTGGCCCATCCTCTCCTAAATTGGAATGGGTCATTCTTAAAATAAAAGTTGAGCTTCCATCATTCTGGATAGAATGAGTTAAGATGAAGGGCTTCCTCCTTCTCTCTCATCCAACAGCTAAATTATCATAAGCCCATAAGCACAGGGCGTTAGGAAACAGAAAGTCAGGTTGTGAGCAATTAAAATGTGAAATGAAAGTGCACTTTGTGGCCCAGAGGCCTGGGCAGCTCTATGCTTCAGACACTACTTACCGTAAGGTAGAACATAATGCCTTTTGCCAAGAACATAGCTGGATCAGCTCTGTGTTTTTCACAGAATAGGCACATAATAAATATTTGCAGATTGATTTGATGGACAAAAAATTCCTGGTACTTGGATACTTTTCTATTTTTCAGCTTCTTATTTTTTAATGTTTAGCAAAGGTGCAGGTGGCCAGTGTTTAGTACACCTGGAAGGAATGTTAATGATAGTGGATGTCATCTATATTTTCCAAACTGGTCTCTAAGTAACACTGACTCTGGGGTATCTTGGGAAAAAAAACCCTCTGTGTTTAAAAAGGTTGGGGAGTGTTACTTAGCTTCCTACTCTGGTCTCTCAAGATTCTCAAGGCTCATTAGCTTATTAAAAATACTGAGAAGAGTTGGGGTCCCCCCAAAACCAGCTTTAACTTTACTAAAACAATTTCTTTCCAGGTTGATTTGATTATGGAACAGTCCCTCCCACATATTTTTCGTGATATCTATTAAAGTTCCACAAAATTCATGTTCTTTGGAAAATACCTTGGGAACTAGTAATTAAACCCAATTTTTGAATTTTACTGGTGAAAAAACAGAGGTCCTGAAGTAGGGCCTAAGAAGAAGTTCTTACAGGTAGTTAGTGAGGGAACTAGGACTAGAATCCCATTTTTTTTTAGCGGGGGGGGTCTGGTCCAAACTGGTCAACCAAACCCAGCTAGAGGGGCATTCTCTAACGTGGGTCCCGGGATGTCAAACATCATGTGTAGAGATGATGGGTAAAAAGGATATGAACATTTTACTCCATAATGGGTTCTTTTGGGGTAATTTGCTGAAAGCTTGAGGTTGTTTTAGCTGGGCTTTTAAATATGGGTAATCATATCCCTCTCTTTTATTATCTCATAGATCTTCAGGTGCTTGCCCGTTGCAGCCTGCATATGCCATAGGTGTTTAATAAATGTATTAAATGAATGAGTAAATGAAAGAACCCAGCAAAAGTCAGAGGAGGTTGGTGGCAGGGAGGAAGAAGGAAACAATCAAGAACTGAAAAGGGGGGAGAAAAGGAAAAAATGTGGAGAAAGGCGGATGGGTGAAATAAAGGAGCCAGCAGTTACTGCTCAGTGGAGGATCGATGAGCCCTGGCAGAGGAAAGAAAGGAGACAGATGCAGGTGATGGAGAAAACAAAAACAAAACCAAACTGAGTGACCAGGGAGCTTTGTTTTTAAAAAGTAAAAGTGACTCATAAGGCTAATTCAGCTGCTGGACATGCCAAGAGGCTCTTGCCCAGGAGGTGGGGATGAGCAGGAAATGCTGAGAAACTTTGGGAACTCAGATCAAAGTATCTTTATTGCACCAGTACAGGAAATGTGCAAGGCATCTTCTTAAGACCTACAATGATAACAGATGAGTAAGACACAAGTCTTGCCTTCAACAAGGTGACAGTTTAACGGGGAGAAGAGTTAGGACAGGGACTCATAACATAATGCCAGGCAGAATGTTTCAATGTCCCCAGAGCTACAAGTCATTACTGGGAGGAATCAGGAGACAGGAAATTCTACATCAAGTCAGAAGGCTCAGGGAAGCCCGCGCAGGAGAGCCGTGAAACACGGACAGGATTGTGCCAGGCAGAGATGGGGGATAAGAGAGGCATTTCGAGGTGATATGGTAAAGAACCCTCAGGAGGTGGGGACGCATATGAAACAGTGAGAGGCCCAAGTGGGTTCCAGCCAAAGGGGTGTGTGGATTGGGAGGTTGTGGAGACATGGCCAGAAAGTCTTGAAAGTCGGAAAGGCCAGAGAGTCACACTGTGGGGCCTTGAATGCCTGGCTGAGGTGCTGATGCTCCAGGCAGGCAATGGGAAGCTACTGAAAGGGGTTTTGTTGTTGTTGTTGTTGTTGTTATTCAGAGAAATAATACCATTAGAGATGACTCTCAGGCAGGGTGACTGGGCAGAAAGGGGTAAGTCCGGGGAAGGAGCTCCCTGGTGGCGGGGGAGGCAGTTTGGCTGCTGAAAGACCAACAGACAATTCAGGTGTTGCACGTCAGACAATCGGAAAATCTGGCCAGAGATATGGCTGAATCCTTTCCTGAGAGCACAGGCAGTGGAAGGTTCTGGTCATTTCCTCAGGGGATAGGGAAGGAGGAAGAATGAGAGCACAAGATAAGCCAAAGAGAATGCAGCCAAGGAGGAAAGACACCAACAGCCAGGCGGGGTACAGGTTTCAATAAAGAAGTTACAGCCATGATTGAGAACCCCAGTCTTGGAGTGGGACTGTGGGAGTTTGAATCCCAGGAGCCTAACTACTCGTGATTAGCACAGGGACTTCAAAGAGTTTTTGAGCGTTTATTTCCTCATCTGTGAAATGGGCGTGATTTCTATCTTCAAGGGATGAGGGCATTCACTGAGATAAAGTTCTTAGGGTACACAGGAGGAGCCAAGGAGTGAACAAGACCCGCGGGAGAAGCAACCGTAGAGATTAAGGGTATTCGCCTGACGAGCGTCTGGAAATGGAGGCAGGGACCCTCCAGAAGCTCAACATTTAGCCGGGATTGCTGACCGCCCTGGAAGAGGAATGGGTGAGCAGGTCAATGCAGCCTCAGGCCGGTCCTCACCCCAAGGCACTGCCCTGTCGCCTACGCTTGCATCCTGCCGCACCTCCCAACCTCCCGCCCCTAGCTTCCCGCCCGGCTTCCACTCCCGCCAGTTCCAGGAGCCTGACGCGCCTGCGCCTTCTGGCGCCCCTGCCCAGCTTTCCACGTTTCACTTGCCTCCCTTTTTCCTCCTCGCTTCCGCTCCACCGCCACGATTGGCCAGCGGGCCTCCTCGCTTCGGCCAATAAACGCCGCTCTCTCGCCCCCGTGTTACTGGGTAGAACAAAACAAAAACAAACAGAGCGAGAGGGGGCAGAGACGCTCTGAGGCGGCGGCAGAAGCTGAGCTGTGGGGTCTGGGCCGGCGGACCAGGGACCTGGGCGAGCAGCGGCGACGGCGGCGGCCCGAGGGGTCAGTACCGGTGAGGCGGCTCGCACGCTCGGAACGACTGCGCTCTGTCCCTCAGCCCCGTCTCTCCTCGGAGGCCGCCGCACGTTGGGAGGGGGTGGGGGCCTGAGGCCGCGGCCGGGTCGGGTGGGCGGGGGTCCGGCCTCCTCCTCCGAGCCCCGCAAGCAGGGCCGCGGGCGCCCCAACGCCCCGGGCTGCGGAGGGCGGGCCCCGGTTCCCTCGCGGGCCGAGGCCCGGAGCGCGGCGGCGCCGGCCTGCCCCCTCCCGGACCCTCTCCCCGCTTAACCGGGTGTGCGGGGCGCTAGCCAGCGAGGGGCTGCCCCTCATCCCCGCGAAGGCCGAGTTTTCACTTTTGAGGGGGGACGTTGGGAGGCGTGTTTCTGGCCTGACTGAAATCCTGTGAGGAAGGTTCGCGCCCTCCCCGCCCCCGTGGCCTCCCTGGGGGACCCCGGCCCGCGCTCTGGAGCCCAGGCCCGGCCGCTCCGGTCCAGCATCCCCCGGGGCCGGCCTGGACTGGGGCCCGCGGGGTCCCGGCCTGCGCCCGCTGCGGAGAGCAAGGCCCGCCGCTGCGGGAGGGGCCGCTCGGAGGCGGACACTTGCCCGCCTCCCCGGCCCTGCGCGGGCTTCGGGCGAAGGGTCGCTTTTTTAGTTTCAGTGGAAACCTCCCAGAGAAAACAAAGACAGGAAGGGAGCCCTCTTTCTGTGAAACGCAGGCCGGCCGTTTCTGCTGCATTCGTCAGTTTGGTGCTGCAGTGTACGTGAGGAGGGGTCGTGTGTCCCCCCTCCCCGGGCCCCTCCCCCCAGAGCCTCGAAAACTGTCTGCAGAAGTCAGTGTCTCCTGGCTCCCGTGCCCTGTGAGAACTGGCTCTGTAACCAGCGACTGTGCAGTATCTGCAATGATTAAAACGATCAAAAATGTAGCGTCGTGTGGAAAGAAAAAAAAAAAAGTCACCGCCTGTTTTTACTTGTATTTTTACTGCTGAGTTTTAGAATTTTGGCATTCTTACTAATGTAATTTTTTTAGAAACCACCGTATACTTTTCTAAAAGGGGAGCACTGCAGATGCGTTCTAAATTTAATTACTGGTATTTATGTCCTTAACCTTCCTTCATTGCAGGTTTCTTAAATCGCTTACTATCTCATCAGGGATCTTGGAGTTATATTTTGATTGGTTCTTCTGTTGTAGTCATGAGAAAGGAAAAATAGTTGCTGGGAGTGCAAAAATAAATGACAATTTGATATTTTCTGTACTGCTTGATTTTGCATCATTGTGGCTGAATATTTTTAGCTGATTTTATTTTAAGTTGCTAATTAGCTGTGATTGTAGCCCTGGAATGAATACAAATAATTTTCTGGTTAGCATATGGTCTAAACTTGACTCCAGAAACTCAGTGGTTTATGAGGTATATTTCAGGAAACAGATTTTTTTGGGGGGGTGGGGGGAGGGTGGGAAGGTGAGGCTCTATCTCCTGGGGAATGTCATGACATTTGAATACTTCTGATTGTATGTTTCTGTTTTAAAACACATTGAAGAAATGAAAACTTTAATGTTAGCCTTAATTTTGTCAAACTTCTGTGTATACTTTTGCTTTCTTATTGAGAATTAATTTTATTGTTTAGTTTTAAGGATGTGGCGTTTAGAATTTTTGCTTTGTTTTTGCTAAGTTTGGGGCAAAAATCTTATGGATTGTTAAGTAAACTGGAAAAAAGCTCCACTACTTTGAAGAGAGGAAAAACATGCAATGTATCTTTATCTTTCTCTAAATTCTTAAAATGTCTGTGTTCCTATCAAGTGTGACTGAGTTCTTGATTGCGTTATCATTGCCTAAAGACACAGACAAGGCTTTTTTTTTTCCCCCCTAGTTAGGATTACTTAATAAAAACAAATATGGTAAGTTATAGATGAGAGTCATACCTAATAATTTTCTTTGCCCAACTGAATGTCTTTTGTGTAATAGTTTAAAATAAATATTATTTTTGGTGTTTGGAAAGTAGTATTTAAAGATTTGATACAACAATAAGAGTCTGTGTTTTAATAAGCTTCTGTTAGTCCTAAAAAAGAATCTTCTTGTGGGATATTAAAATCTTGGATTGAACTTGTGCAAGCAGTCCTGGATTGAGAAGGTCTGGGTTCTGGTTCTTCCGTTGAGCAGCTGTCTCTCTTTGGACAGATCACCTACCTTCTCTGAATTTGTTTAGTTGTGTGCAAAGTGGAGTAAATAGCTCAAGATTGTTCTGAGAGGTACATGAAATAATGCCTGTAAAATTCTCTGTGAATTATAAAAGGCCTTATAAACATCAGTTATAATAATTTCATTTCCTTTAGTAGCTAGGTTCTGCAGAAAGTATTCTCTCAAAGATTCTACTTGCATCAAGTATGAAAAAGACTTTTTAATGTAACTCTAGTTTAAAAAGCTCATGCACACATCATAAGACATTTTCACTTTCCTATAACATGTAACTCATATAAAATGAAACATACGGCATTTTCAGACATGGAGATGCTTAGGTTTGTAAACATTTTTGTTTATATATTTATATGAATTTCTATATACATATCTTTAAGGGTCATTTTTTCTCCCCTAAATCCAGAGTTGGTGGAAATTATGATATTGAAAAATCATTATATAGAATCACTTAAGTCTGTTTATTCTGAGTAGAATTGGAGAGTGGTCTCACCATTTTCTTAATTTCTTAAGTGGTATGAGAGCATCCTGGTAGCCTAAGGATTATGCCATATTAAGAAGTTTATCATTGTAGCATTAAGGTGTGTTTATTTTTGTTCTACAAAATAATACCTTTTTCTGGATCAAAGGACTACAAACTTTTAAGATGTTAGAATAGTTTATATTAAGGAATTTAAAAGTTAGTTGAGGGGCGCCTGGCTGGCTCAGTCTGTGGAGCATGTGACTCAATCTCCTAGTTGTAAGTTCGAGCCCCACATTGGGTGTGAGTTTACTTTAAAAAAAAAAGTCAGTTGAGTCCCAGGAGGCATCATATATATTATGGTTAAATTTTCATTAATTTGTTCATTTTATATCTTGAAAGCACACTGCTAGTGAAATGATTGTAAGTGATTGGGAGGGCTTATATCTAACCTGTATGACTTGAACAGACCTGTATGACTTGAACAGATCAGTGCTTAAGTACTGTAAAGCACTATTTTAAAAATATTTACAGAGAGATTCTAAAATCATTTGGTTACACCTTCTGGTAAAAGTTTTCATCAAAATATATTTTGATAGTCTTTCAAGTAACGTTAGATTTATATCACTAAGTTAAATAAGATTTCATCGAAGCCTTCAGCATTGATAATTTTTAAGCCATTTTGAAACAGAGGTCTATAATACTGAGATGTTAATGCCATTGTACTTATTTCTTTTTTAAAGGCGAGGGCTTTGTTTCTTTTATTATATATTTTTAAGAGAATGGGGGAGGCACCTGGCTGGCTCAGTCTGTAGAGGATGCAACTCCTGATCTCAGGGTTGTAAATTTGAGCCCCATATTGGGTGTAGAGATTACTTAAATATAAAATCTTAAAAAAAATTTTTTTTTAAACTAAAAAAAGAATGGGTTTTTCAGATTATGAAAATAATACTCTCATTGTAGAAAACGCCATTTATAAAAATTTCTGCAAATCTCAAAGTCTTCTAACTGTAATTATGGACACGTAGTTGATAAAATGGCAGACCTGTCTGCCTTCAGATATGTTGTAGTGTGAAAAATTAACACAGTCATGTGATATGCTTGATTAAAACTGTTGCTTGCATTTTGTAGTAGTTCTTACAATTCATTGGTAGTGAACTATCCAGTATTATGTACATCAGATTAATTATGAGTCCTGGTAGTCCTAAAAAATTTGGAGTATGTATATACTGCTTTAATTTGAAATAAACATGTATATCTTTATACATCTTTTACTGCCAAGTTAAAGGGGTGCTTTGGCACATTCAGAAACATGGGTATTTTTTTTTTTTTTGGACCCAGATACATTTGTCAGGAAGATTGAAACCAAATGTTAATAGTGGTAAACTATTTTTCAAAGTAAAGAGAGCTCTTTTTTGAAAAATGAAATTATGTGCTGATTTTTTTTTTTACAGTGATTAAGTAAATTCAATTTACCTTAATTATGTCAGTTTGGAAGATACTGAAACTTTTTTCTTTTTAAGGAAATAGATTCCAAGGGAAGACTTCCATTAGTAATTTAATCAGTGCAAGTGACATTAAAGAACAATGGATATAGAAAATGAGCAAATACTGAATGTAAACCCCACAGGTAAGTAAGAATATTTTCAACCCTGACTGTATTATGAGCATGTTTGAGGTCCTACAAAATTTTATGAAAACATAGTATTAAAACCATCTTTACTTTAAAAACCATCTTATTCATACTACAAGAAAGTGAGTTATATTATTTTTAAAATCAAGTTTGTGATTTTTTTTTAATATTTATTAGAGAGAGAGAGAGAGAGAGAACAAGCTGGGGGGAGGGGCAGAGGAAGAGGGAGAAGCAGACTCCCTGCTGAACAGGGAGCCTGACTGGGATCATGACCTGACTGGGATCATGACCTGAGCCGAAGGCAGACGCTTAACCAACTGAGTCACCCAGGTGCCCCTGTGATTCTTCTTTTTATAGAAATTCTTCACATGTCCTTATTTTTCTGCCTATCCTTTCACATTCCATACATTCTTATTCTCTACTATTTATAATAAACTGTATTTAACAGAATGGAGAATAGTGAACCTGTTCATTAATATTTTCAAATGAGCTAGTGATTTCTATAATATAAACTATTATTGGTATCTTTGATCTCTTTCCTAATTAATAATTTATATCTTATATTACCTATGGTATTTTTCTTGATTTTCCATGATGCTTCAATAGGACATTATCATAAAAATGGTTTTGTGGAATAGAGGTTTAAATGTTGAGTAACTTCAGACAACTTAAAATGTATTTATAACTTTCACAATAATCTTAATTAGGATTTTGCGATATTCTGAATGGTGAGAGCTTTTCCTGTTGGTATATTTTGGATAATTCTTTGCTTTATAATTTTATTAGTATTGAAAAGATCACTGTTTTGTAATTTAAATATATTTATCATACTTCATTTTTTAATACTATAGTAGTTTTATTTTTTCAAAGAATAATTCACTATGTACAAATTAATATAGTTTTCTTTGATCTGAACAGACACTTTGAAGTTGAAACCTCTTGCCAGTTTGTAAGTGTGCTAGAAGATTATAGTTGAAAAAATTATTGCAATAATTAATGATTATTTTGGTGCTGCTATATACAATAGCTATGTGAATACTTGTTTTTAGGGTTATAAATGGGCATCATATTCCTGCTTCATTGAAGTGAGGATGGTAAAAATATATATATTTTTAAAGATTTTATTTATTTATTTGAGAGAGAGACTGAGATAGAGAGAGCATGAGAGGGGGGAAGGTCAGAGGGAGAAGCAGACTCCCTGCTGAGCAGGGAGCCCGATGCAGGACTTCATCCCAGGACTCCAGGATCATGACCTGAGCTGAAGGCAGTCGCTTAACCAACTGAGCCACCCAGGTGCCCCGGTAAAAATATATTTTAAGAATATATTTCACATATAGATAATTGTTGCTTTTCTGTACTGTCCAGTATGATAGCTCCTAGCCACATGTGGCTATTGAGCACTTGAAATGTGACTTGTCTGAATTGAGATGTATTGTGGGTGCAAACACATTCCAGATTTTAAAACTTCGTATGAATGAAAGACCTCAATAACTTCCCCCCCTTTTTCTTCATTGCACTCTTTTTTTTATTATGTTATGTTAATCACCATACATTACATCATTAGTTTTTGACATAGTGTTCCATGATTCATTGTTTGCGTATAACACCCTGTGCTCCATGCAGAACGTGCCCTCTTTAATACCCATCACCGGGCTAACCCATCCCCCCATGCCCCTCCCCTCTAGAACCCTCAGTTTGTTTCTCAGAGTCCATAGTCTCTCATGGTTTGTCTCCCCCTCCGATTTCCCCCCCCTTCATTCTTCCCCTCCTGCTATCTTCTTTTTTTTTTAAACATATAATGTAGTATTTGTTTCAGAGGTACAGGTCTGTGATTCAACAGTCTTACACAATTCACAGCACTCACCATAGCACATACCCTCCCCAATGTCTATCACCCAGCCACCCCATCCCTCCCACCCCCCACCACTCCAGCAACCCTCAGTTTGTTTCCTGAGATTAAGAATTCCTCATATCAGTGAGGTCATATGATACATGTGAAAGACCTCAATAACTTTTTATATTGACTCTGTGTTCAAAGTTTATAACATCTACTAGATTAAATAAAATATATTAAAATTAATTTCACCTGTTTCTTTTTAATGTGGATACTAGGAAATTTAAAATTACATATTTGGCCTGCATTATATTTCTGTGAGACAGCACGACTCTAAGTTTTACATATTTTGTTTTCTGTCTATAACAAGTCCTAGTTCTTTTAACCCTGTTCTTGATGCCTGGCCAGAACTACCTTAATATAAAGGACTTGTAGTTCTTCAATACTTGGATGGGCCTAAGACAGACCTTTGCTATAAATTCTTCCTGTAGCAAATAGTCCCAAGTCAGACTAGTGTATTAGTCTGTTACTTTGGGGAAGTAGGTTATTTGCTCTGACCTTCAGTTTTCTCATGTATAAAACTGGGGTACAAATGCCCTCTCTGTAGGTTTATTGTGAGGATTAAATGAGATTATAGTGTATGTGTGTCATGCCCATAGCACATATTTTGTATGTAACAAATGAAATGTGTTAATATTGTTAATTCTAATTATGCCAATCAGTGGACCATTAATTAAAAATTTGATTATTGCCTTCTGTAATACTGTAAGTTAGATTGGTTACTACTGAGATACCATAGGATTTAGAAGGGGAATTAGTACACAGTGGAAAACAATTTTGAAGTCACCACATTATGTACTCAGGTTTTTTATCTTTTATCTTCTGGTTTTCTTAAAGTAAGATCAGTAGTGGTTATGGAACCCTAAAACCTAGGTAAATATGAGGCACCTAGATGGCTCAGTCGGTTAAGTGGCCAACTTTTGATTTCAGTTCAGGAGATCTTAGGGTCCTGGGATTGAGCCCTGCATTGGGCTCCATGCAGACTCCATGGGGAGTCTGCTTGAGGATTTCTCTCCCTTTCCATCCTGCACCCCCTGCTTGCGTGTGCACTTTCTCTCTCAAATAAATCTTAAAAAAAACACAAAAACTAGGTAAATATGAATAGCAAAATACAAAAGAGTAATTGATAGAAACATGGGTTAAAAATAAGATCTAATAGATAAAATATACCTAGATGTGTTCTGCTGCAGTCATATGAAGATACTGGAAAGGATATTAAAATAGTTGAAAGTTGTGGGAAATGTGTTGAAATTGAATACTTTAGTACTCCAAGTGACAGTTTAAAGTGACATTTTATTGTAATTTGATGTCCTTTATCTTCTGGATGAGTTTAATGGTTTTCCGTAATTATAGAATAATGAAAGCAATATGTTACAGGTAGATGTTTAATATTTTCTTCAACAGCCTGCTCTTACTTGAAATTCCATCTAACTTGTCTGATCTCTGGTCTTTTTTTCTCCTTCCTCTTACTCTTCTGCTTCTCTGTCTTTATAATCACTCACTTGTCCTGTCTCTTTAGCTGTGACTACTCTGCTGTACTCTAGCTCTGTATTTTCTACAGTTATAATCTGAGATTTAAATGTGGATTTGAATGTGAAGATTATAGACCATGTATGTAAAGTGCCTAGCATAGAACCTGGTATCTAGTAGTAACAACGATGATGGTAATGACAAAAGAAGTTGCACTACTGCTGTGACTACTACTGCTACTAGTAGTTGCAGTCGTTTAGTTATGATGGTGGTTGTGAGGATGTCTCAAACTCACCCTCTAACTCTAACTTCCTGTCTTAGTCTAAAAACTTTTTTAAGACTACATTTCATGCTTCTTCTGTTTAAAAGCTCTTTATTTTTTCTTTGAGTGTTGCTTTCTTATTTACCCTGAAGTTATTACCCTTGATCTTTTCAGTTAGTTAGTAATGGATTATTGTAACATTTTCTTTGCTGGTCTTCCATTTTATACTTTCTTTTTTTCCTAATATATTCTGTATTTCTCTGCTAAACTAATCCCCCCATCACTACCTATGATATCAAATCTAAGCTCTGACCGTTTGAATGTGGGAGTGGTCAGCGATTACTCTGATGATGTAAGCAGGGGCAAGATCATGAAGGATCTTAAGTTACAAGGTAATGAGTTTAAACTTTATTTTGACCCAGTGGGAATATCTTCAAAGGGTTTTCAGTGGGGGCATGTTTTAGAAGATCAGTTTTCATGCAGTTTGGAGATGGTTTGAAGATTGAAGGCACAGAGACTAGGAAACTAATGATGTAATTGGACTCTACTTACTGTTATGTTTGTTTTTTGATTACCAGAATGTTCTTAACTTTTATACTTTTTGTCAAGAATTACAAAGATTTCAACACATTTGTTTTTTATAGGTTGATTTAAAAAATTTTCAGTTTTAACATATTAAAGCATGTTAAAACCTATACACATGGACTTGACACAGTCTAATTACATTTAGGAAATGTAAAACCATTTGAGGGATTCAGCTCTGACTTGAGTTAGCCATAATGAACAAAACTCTGGCTCAAGGGTAACTAATTCAGTAGTTCACTGACTTAGAAAATTTTCAGAGCAAAGCCAACTGTCTCCATGCCATTGATCTCCACAGATATTGGAGTTGATAGTATGAAGGATACTCTGTAAGGTGCTGAGTACAGAGAAGTGCAGGTAAAGGCGTGGTTCCTCTTTTGAGGCTTATGACTTACTTGGAAAAGCAAGACTGCTACATAAATTAGAAATAAAGTGGTTTCCGTAATGTAAATGAACGGTGTGTGGGCATTAGGGTTATTGTGGCTAGAATTGTTAGGAAAGATTTTTATGGAGGAAATAAAACTTGAGTATATCCTAAAGGATTTTGATAAGTGAAAAGAGCAGTGGGGATGACATTCTCAACGGGACCATTGGAAACTCCAAATATGTTGCTATCTTTCAAGGAATAATGTATAAATTTTATGTAGCCTGGAAGATAGAAGATGATAAGTGATATAAGTCAAGTTTGGAGAGGAGAATTAGAGCTTTGAAAGCAAGCTCCTTCCCCTGCCGCCCACCAAGCTTTACCTTTGAAAGCAGTGAATCCTCAACAGATCATTTATTTGCCAAATACCTTTCAGGCTCTTTGGATTAGTAATATTTCCTAAGTGTCTGTAATTAATCATGAGTTGTTTGGGAAGTTATTTAAACACTCTCAACCTTAGTTTCCTTATCTGTATTAATGACCCTGTGTGTAATAAATAGCTCTCAAACTTGTGGGTAAATGACAAAACATCCAGCACAGTGCTAGTAGGCATTCTGTAAATAATAGTTTATCTTTCTTCTCTCAAGATTTTGTATTTTCTTACTATCTCCAATTGCTTAACTCTCTTAGCTCACAGAAGTCGAAAGGTTTTATCTGTGGTTGTATATTAACATAGATTTTATTTTCTAAACATATAACATGCTTTCATTAAACTTTGCTCACCAAAATTCACTGTCTTAGTTTACTTTCTATGATAATGTGAAAAGTAATGCTGTTTAGTTGTCATTTATTAGATCAAATCATATGAAATTGCCAATATGTGACTGTTACCTAAAAAATAGTAATTTCATGTGATTCAACCTAATATAACTTAGGATGATAACTGATATAACAGTGGATGATTAAAGTACTTATGTAGCATTTTCTTTCTTCATTTTCCTCTTTAAGATCCTGATAATTTAAGCGACTCTCTCTTTTCTGGTGATGAAGAAAATGCTGGGACTGAAGAAATAAAAAATGAGATAAATGGAAATTGGATTTCGGCATCCTCCATTAATGAAGCTAGAATTAATGCCAAGGCAAAAAGGCGCCTGAGGAAAAACTCATCCCGGGACTCTGGCAGAGGCGATTCAGTCAGTGATAATGGAAGTGAAGCCCTTAGAAGTGGAGTAACTGTACCAACCAGTCCAAAGGGAAGGTTGCTAGATAGGAGATCCAGATCTGGGAAAGGAAGGGGACTACCAAAGAAAGGTTGGTATATTTCATGTCCAAAGAAACAAATAGAAAACAATATAACCTGATACTTAAACTATGGTTTCCTTGTTCTAGGAAGGCAAGAAATTTAAACAATGATAATGTAAGATTTTATGATTTATGTATGTTTTTACAAAGTAATAATCTGAGGACCATCCCACTTTTTCTTTAAGTTGAGCTTTTTTTCTGGAGGAGATTGTTTTCTTGAGCAGAACTTTATTTTTTTCAGCAAAATACACATGGATTTTTTTGTACAGTTATGAATTGTGCATGTATTCTCTAACTTTGCTTGAAAGTGGGGTCAGAAAATCATCATACCTGGGGGACCTGGCTGGCTCAGTCATTGGAGTATGTCACTCTTGATCTCGGGGTCATGAGTTTGAGCCCCACATTGCAGGTAGAGATTACTTAATAAATAAAAGTTAAAAACAATTCATCATACCTATTATCTAATGAATGTAATTATGTCCTTGGTTAAGAATATAGGATAAACATAAATTAGATTGGTAATAAGTGGATCAGAATTTTAATGATTTCGTAGGTCTGGTTCCGAGTTCGTTCGTTCGTTTGTTCTTTCTTTTCATTCATTCATTCATTCAATTTAATTTATTAAAAGATTTTATTTTTTAAGTAATCTCTATACCTAACATGGGGCTTGAACTTACAACCCCGAGATCAAGAGTTGCATGGCTCTACCAAGTGAGCCAGTGAGGCGCCCCCCTGAGTTCTCTTCAGTTCTCTTTTGGATACTGGAGTGGAATGATCTTTTTTTTTTTTTTTTAAATTTTATTTATTTATTTTGAGAGAGAGAGCATGAGTAGGGGGAGGGGCAGGGGGAGAGGGAGAGAGAATCCTCAAGCAGACTCCCTGCTCAGCGAGGAGCTGGACATGGGCTCCATCCTAGGACCCCGGGATCATGACCTGAGCTGAAGGCAAACACTTAACCGAGGTACCCTAGGAATGGTTCATTTTTTCACTGCTATGTCCAGTGCCTGAAGTAGTGACTAGCAGTTGTAGATACTTAAGTATTTGTTGATGAGGGATGTTAGCTTTGGTCTGTGGTAGGGTTTTGATATAATTTGGAGATTTCACAGCTTCTGAATGGTGTGAACTTCAATTTATAGCCTAGGATTCTTGTAAAATGTTTTTGTGATTGGTCAAAAACTGTTATTCTTGTTGAATGGCTCTACAACCATTGGTTAGATCAAAATGAATCCTAATAATCAGATTCTGTTTTACTCTAGTGTTGATATAAAATACAACCTCAAAAAAAGTTGGTGATACTGAAAAGTACCTTAAAAATAATGTACTCTATTAAGCGTTATAAAAATATTTCAATAAGTTTATGTAGAAAAACCACTTTGAAAGTTGGGATTGTTAAACTTCATCTGTTTGTAAATAGAAGTACAGAGAAATAACGATCAGTGCAGTCAGTGCTTAAATAGCTTAGTTATTCATAACATATTGCCAGTTGTCAAGTATAGTTTAATGTGTACTATTATATTTAAAGAGTATTTGACTTTGAAACACTTGCAGTGGAAACTGTGCTTCTTTGTTAAGTAATTTCACCCTTACTGAGTTTCCTATGCCACATCTTATTGGCTCAACATACTTCTTTTTGTTTTGGTCTTATGAAATGTCAAATAAAATTTAGAGCTCAGCTACATTGTCACACCCTTTGGGGTCCCTGATCTACATATTTTTCTGATCTTTGTTTGTTTTGTTTTTGCTTTCATTTTAAAGCATCTGCCTTTTTAGTTTTAACTTTATAAGCTATTTCAACTTGATGTTTTAGAAATAGGTTATAAAATATATAATATCTAATCATGACTGAAAAAGCAGTGATCCAAGAAAAAAGGTTTAAAGTATAATTCAACTGGAGAAAAAACTGGCATAGAAATTAAAATGCAGTTTTTTAACTGTTAATTAATATCTGAATATCTAGAATTATTTCAGATTTCAGTTAAAATTTATGAACTATGAACTTTGTGTTCTTTCTCAATTCTAAACTTTTTCAGGTGGTGCAGGAGGCAAAGGTGTCTGGGGTACACCTGGACAGGTATATGATGTGGAGGAGGTGGATGTGAAAGATCCTAACTATGATGACGACCAGGTATCAGTGTTTTACTTTAATTTTTTTAATCTTATGTTTAAAATGCTAGTAAGTTTTTTGACTTCATGTCTGTAGTTTACTCATACATTTGTCAAATTATACATTCTATATCTATACTCTGTACCTGTCAAATCATGTATATATGATTTATAGTGTGTGTGTGTATATATATATATATATATATACAAACACACATATAACATGTGTGTATGTATATGTGTGTACACACATTAGTATCTGTATCTAAATCATACATACACTCAGTCCTTTTGGACTTTTAGGTAAATTTTGGATTAGGAAACCACATTAACTGATAATGATATATGTGTAATTTTCACTTCATTTCTGAAGTGAGTTAAAAGTAGGTCTTTACAGATTTACTTAGGATTATTGAGTTGATTTTTTTTTTTTTTTTTTTTAGATTTTATTTATTTATTTGAGGCAGGGAGAGGGGCAGAGGGAGAAGCAAGCAGACTCCCTGCTGAGCAGGGAGCCCAATGTGGTCTCAATCCCAGGCCCCTGGGATCATGACCTCAGCCGAAGGCAGACACTTAATGGACTGAGCCACCGAGGTGCCCCAAGTTGACTATTTTTTAAAAAATATATTTATTTATTTGAGAGAGAGAGAGAGATTGGGAGAGGAGCATAGGGAGAGAATCTTCAAGCAGGCTCCCTGCTGAGTGTGGAGCCCACCATGGGGCTCGAACTCAAGACCCATCACATCATGACCTGAGCTGAAACCGAGTCAGATGCTTAACCAACTGAGCCACCCAGGCACCCCCAAGTTGACTATTTTTCTATAAATTCTGTTGAGTTAATATAGTTTCTATAGTAATGATAATTGAGAAGAATATATATTCTTTTGAATATCATAAAAGAGTTATAGATATTAGGTTCCTTTTAAAATATTACTCTTCAGGATGGTAACTCTATGGTAAATTTTATTTTGGGAACATGACTATCTTTTTTCAGTGTTGAGAATGTAAATTTTGTTTTTCTTCATTCTGTGCCTTTTATTCCCACGACTTACTCATTCCATAACTGGAAGCCTGTATCTCCTACTCCCCTTCACCAATCTTGCCCCTCCCCTCTGGTAACTGTCAGTTTGTTCTCTGTGTTTACAGGTCTGATTCTTTTTTGTTTGTTTATTTGTTTTTGTTTTAGATTCCACATATGAGTGAAGTCATGTGGTATTTGTCTTCCTCAGTCTTAATTTCACTTAGGTCCATCCATGAGAATGTAAATTTTTAATAGATTTTATAATGAACATATATTTATTTTTTAATGGAAACTTTCTAACTTATACAGAATATGTATAAATTTTATAATTTATACAGAAGTAGGATAGTGTAATGAACATGCTTGTACTTGTCTCCCAGCTTTACCAACTTCAGTAATTAATAACCCATGGTCAGTCTTGTTTTATCCTGTACCTCCGTTTATTTTTCCTCTTGTATTCCCCTGCATGCACCCCCCACCCCCATGCTCTGGATTATTTTGAAACAAATCCCAGACATTATGACATCTTTTTTTTTTTTTTAAGATTTTATTTATTTATTTGACAGAGACACAACGAGAGAGGGAACACAAGCAGGGGGAGTGGGAGAAGCAGGCTCCCCGCTGAGCAGGGAGCCCGATGCGGGGCTCGATCCCAGGACCCTGGGATCATGACCTGAGCCGAAGGCAGACGCTTAACGACTGAGCCACCCAGGCACCCCTATGACATCTTTTTTAAAGTACTGTCTGTGCATGAGATAATTCATGGTGATGAGAATTTTAGACAGGAAATTACCAGGGTATATGTTAGATTGTTTTTATTCCATATTGTTTGTATATACTTACCTATTTTAGCTAATTGTTGGACATGGAAATATTTCTAAGAGCATGAAAAAAAAATAAAAAGTAAAAAACTAAAAACAAATTTCAGTTTATATGAATATTTTGTTCATTAATTTATAACTCTTTCACCTCCTTTCCCTCCCAGGAGAACTGTGTTTATGAAACTGTAGTTTTGCCTTTGGATGAAACAGCATTTGAGAAGACTTTAACACCAATCATACAGGAATATTTTGAGCATGGAGATACTAATGAAGTTGCGGTAGGTTTAAAATTGCAAGTATGATTTATTTAATATAGGAAAGAAAACACTATTAAAAGCAGAACATCATATCCAAAATGATCTTGGATCACTGAATAAGTTTTAAGCATTTTCTTTTGCATAAATGAATTTCTAAGAAATGGAGTAAAATTTCCTTAATATAGATTCGTTCTTTCCTATTTGGGATGTGATGAGGGCTATATGCCATTTCTTTCCCTGAAAAATGGCAAAGTAATATTTTAATAATTTTTGCAATTATATATTTTTGTAATTGATAGTGTATAAAATAATACTAACAATTTCAGGCATCTGTGGACCTTCTCAAACCTCTTCAGGGATCTCAGTTAAAAATGATTGATTTAGTTCTCTTTTTTTGACGTTTATTTCAATGCTCAGGATTAAGATAAAATTTATCTTTGTATTCTGCCCAAAAGAAAAAAAACACAAAGATACAAAGATTTGAATAAGAATGTATACAGAAACTAAGAGAACAAATGTGTTTTTGAAACATAATTTGCATGGGAACATTTCCTGTGTTATGAATTGTTCATAAAGTAAATCTAAAAAGGTAAAATAAAACTACCTAACTAGAATTATGGACTTAAAGTACTAAAATTGCAACTCTTTTTATTTTTTATTTTATTTTTTTTTAATTGCAACTCTTTGAAAGGCTTTTATAATTTACACTTTTATACTTCAGACTGGGCTTCTTGGTTTGTCTGATACCGTGAGGTCTGATATCCTTAGATTTGTAGGATTTAAATATAAAACAAATATTTTTTCAGTGCATACCATGTGAAGGAATTTGTAATAGGTGATTCCTGCCCTTATGAAGCTCAGTCAAGTGAGGGAAGTGATATATATATAATGTGAAGCCTTCTATTTTAGAGGAAGAGTTTAAGTCCTGTAAGGGTAGACTATTGAAATCCTATCTACCTAGCATGGGACTAGAAGTATACTATGTATTTATTAACTGAGTAGTACTATAAGCAGAGTGTTATGGAAGCATAAAATGGAGAGTAATAGAAAAGATGATTCTGAGCTATGTAAGAATGATTAGAAGTTTGCCAGGGTAAGATGGTTGAAGAGTTTCCCAGAAAGGAGAAGTATCCTGTTTAAAAGCAGTGAGTTAGTTGTTCAAGCCCAGTCCAGGACACCAGTTAGGTGGCTGTGACAATAGTTTTGGCACCGTTTTAGTAGTATAACATGGTTTAAATACTCTGAGAACTATAAGTAAAAAGGAAGACACTCTAAGTAGCTTGTAGGGTCATACTGCCTGTATTCCACTTCCAAGTTGGCCACTCCAGTTATATGTCTTCAGCAAATACTTAATTTTTCATTGGTTTGGGTATGATGACAATACCTCCCTGAAAAGGGTTGTTTTGAGTCTTAAATAAGATAATAGAAACTAAAGTGGCTGTTACAATGCTTGATACATTATATACCGTAGTTAGTATTAGCAGCTGCTATTATTATTATTTTTTTAAGATTTTATTTATTTGACAGAGAGAGACACAGCGAGAGAGGGAACACAAGCAGGGGGAGTGGGAGAGGGAGAAGCAGGCTTCCCGCGGAGCAGGGAGCCCGATGCGGGGCTTGATCCCAGCACCCTGGGATCATGACCCGAGCCGAAGGCAGACGCTTAACGACTGAGCCACCCAGGCGCCCCAGCTGCTATTATATTTTTAATAGGAAATTTTAACTTAATCCCAGCGTTTAAAGAAATAATTCCACTTAAAAACAATAGTTTAAGATCTCCTTTTAAACTTTATATGAACAGTATAAAGTAAGCTTTAGTGCGAAGAGAAAACTTTGAGGAAAAGTAGATTATATAAACAGCTTACGATAATGTAAAATGAGTCTAACCACAAATATTCATAGAAGAATATTCCTAGAAATGAGGAGCGCCTGACTGGGTCAGTCGGAAGGGTATGTGACTATTGATCTTGGGATTGTGAGTTTGAGCCCCATGTCGGGTATAGAGATTACTTACATAAAAAAAAATTTAAAAAATTATAAGACACAGGGTTAATTCCTAACACCAAACTTATTAGCAACATATAGTTTAATCCTGTTTTAGGTGTAATTCACATTCTTGAGTTTAGTGATGTTCAGATAGTAAAAGCTTAAAGTGGATCAATATCTAATTTAGATGCACAGAAAGATGTATTTATCTTATCCTACAAAATTGACTGCTTTTCTGATTATTTCCAAAGGGGAAAAGGTAAGGATATATGGATAAAATCTTGAATTTTCAAAAATAAAGTTATATTGAATTAAAAACAGTGACATATACTTTTTAGTTAGGTTTTTTTTTTTTTAATAGGAAATGCTAAGAGATTTAAATCTTGGTGAAATGAAAAGTGGAGTACCAGTGTTGGCAGTGTCCTTGGCATTGGAGGGAAAGGCTAGTCATAGAGAAATGACATCTAAGCTTCTTTCTGACCTTTGTGGGACAGTAATGAGCACAAATGATGTAGAAAAATCATTTGACAAATTATTGAAAGATCTACCTGAATTGGCACTGGATACTCCTAGAGCACCACAGGTTTGTATGACTCTTCTTTTTATTCATTCTCTCCCCCATTATACTTCAAATTATAGAAATAATACATGCCCCTAGGAAATTTTAGTAGATAAAGAGGACAAAATGATCCATATTTTTTACCACACAAAAATAGCCCTCTGACATTTTAGTGTATTTTTGTCTAGGTGTTCTTCTTTTCTTTTTCTAATATGGTTTTCATCATACTATAATTTTATGTCCTGCTTTTCCACCCATGCTCTGTATAGTTTGTAGGTCTTTTTTTTTTTTTTTGCTATCTATATTTTCTGTTACATGTGGTTAAGCCGTTGTATGAGCTAGGATTTCAAAAATATGTAGATTGTTATAATTGAAGATTGAATTGGCTTGACTGATATTTATTATAAAAATAATCATAAATAAGTCTGTACCCTTTTGTAGCTTTGTGGGGAAATAATTAGAAAATCATGAATTTGTTTCTATTTAGATTCTGTCCTCAAAGTCTTATGCTTTTATTAGATTTAATACATGCTGATATTATAATGTGACTTTCTGGTTTGAAATTGAAAATGTGTGAAATTGTTGCTATTTACTTAACCAAAGTTTTAAATCAAGGTAGGAGCATTTTACTTAAACATCAATTTAGGAATAGGGATAGGTAGGTTAATTCCTAAATGCTGTTTCTGTTACACTTTTCTATGACAGACAGTAGTCTATGTAAGGTATTAAGCAATGATTCAGATGTGGACTTTTTTTTTTTCTTTTTATAGCAGTACTCATATATTAAAAAAATAATTACATAAATTCATATAATGGAATTTTTGAAAAATAAAGGTCAAAAGGAAGCAAAGCAGGGCCAGCAAAAATAACCACTGTTAACATTTTGGTGTTAAATCTATTTTACTTTCTGTGGGTATATATCAGTGTATGGTTTTTATATATCCTTGCATTTTTTGTTTTAAAGAAAGTGGAATTATACTGTATATGCTATTTTATAAACTTGATTCTTCTTACACCATAAAATGTGGTAAACGTATTTCCTAATGGCCACATAATGTACCATCTTATGTATCATTTAACCACACCTTTATTGTTAGACACTAAAGTCGTTTCCAATTTTTATAAGAAATAATGCTATGAAAAGGAGTGCCTGGCTGGTTCAATCTGTGGAGCACATGTGACTCTTGGTCTCAGGGTCATGAGTTCAAGCCCCACATTGGGTATGGAGCCTACATTAACAACAACAACAAAAAGAAGTAATGCTATGAATATACTTTCAGACAAATTTCTACACCAAGTTTTCTCCATACAATAAATTCTTTTAATCAGAGAATCTGAGAAAACCTAGTCCCATTTTTTTGTTTGTTCTCTTGAATTTAGGCCATTGGCTTAACAAGTAATTTTGATGATACACTATGTTTCACGCAGTGTGCAGAGGTGTTGGGGGATTAGAATTGAGCAATGTGCCCCCCCCCCCACCATGGTGCTTATCTTGAGGGGTGAGTTGTCGGAGAGTATGCTGAGCGTAACTAGCAGGTGCTAAATAGATGTCTTTGAATATTCCAGTATATCTTAGATATTGACTGTGTAGTTCAGCCAGTCTTCATCATTTATGCATTTAGAAATTGTGTCCTATAAAGGTTTTAGATTTTTTTATATAGCTTTTTTTTTTTTTCCTTATTGTAGTTGGTGGGCCAGTTTATTGCTAGAGCTGTTGGAGATGGAATTTTATGTAATACCTATATTGATAGTTACAAAGGAACTGTAGATTGTGTACAGGCTAGGTAAGTAAATTAATTTTTCTACTTAGAATTTCAAAAGAGGGGAAAATTCTACAGGATTTTATTGAAATGACATTTGGATTAATCAGACATTGTGTTTGTCATTTGTGTGCATTCTCCACTGCTAAAACAAAATTGAGAGATTGTTGACATGATGTAACAGGAAGAGGACAGTACTATAATGTAGAAGTTTGGGATTAGCTAAACCTAGCTACCTTTATGTCAAACCACTCTTCTCTGGGCCTCAGTTTCCTTATTTATAAAATGGAAGGATTGGACTGAGAATATTTAAGGTCTCTTCAGGTTTTTACATTCTGTAATTATTTCATATTCTAGTAAGATGGACAGTATTAACAAAGGAACCCCATTTTCTATTTTATTTTATATTTATCTGCTACAGTAATATTAGGAAATAATGTTTTTCACTCTTGTTCTTTGGTATAATTTTAGGCTAAATGTAGTATTTGGGAGTCATCCTGTATGATTTTTATAACTTTCTGGAAACTTAGATTTGGTCTTAGCCATGTGTTAGGTTTTCTCAGGTGTAGATGTTAACTTAATTTTCTAGGACTACTCAGATCAGAGTGGAATGGTTGCCCTGGTGGGAAGGCATATATCTATGTAAAAGTTTAGTTTTATGCAAAATGTTTCTCCTCAGGATAGATGTATTATTTTGTAATAAGGTTTTAGATTTTTGTTGATTGAGAAAAGAAGAGAGTATGAGAATATTAACATGAAAAGCAACTGTTTTTTTGTTCCCAACTTTTTATTTTAAAAAGTATTTGTTTTTTAAAAGACTTTGGAATTTTAGGTTGCTTTTAGGTTACATGAAAGCTTTTAGGTCAGCCTCAAGCATGTCCAAGTTGCCAAAATTATTTATTATTGTTATTTATTTATTTTTTTTGGTAGAGCTGCTCTGGACAAGGCTACTGTGCTCCTGAGTATGTCTAAAGGTGGAAAGCGCAAAGACAGTGTGTGGGGTTCTGGAGGTGGGCAGCAGTCTGTTAATCACCTTGTTAAAGAGGTAACTACTGGGTATTGTCTTTAACTTAATTTACATGTATTTCTCTAGGGAAGTAAACTATGCCCTCTAGCTGGTATTTCTGCAGACAAAAATTAAGTTCAGTCTTAAAGTTACACATGGAAAATTGGATAACCTTTGTATATTTGGCTTTATACCCTAGTGCTATAAATTACACAAGAATTATATAATTGTTACTAAATTTTTATGGTTTCTCTGACTTAAAAATAAGACTGAGTTAAGTTAAAAGGGCTTTCATAAGAAGGCTGTATTTGAACCTCAAAGGAATGCCTGAAGTCTTTTCTTATATTGGTGTTTAAAATTTTTCAAATACTGTCAAAGTAAGACTTTCTATTTTATAGTTACTCAGTAAATAACTACATTTTTAAGTGAGTAATTTGAAACTGGATACTCTGAGATCATAAGTTAAGAATTATGAACACTAGAGTAGATCAGAGTGGTAGATTTTTGTAAGGAAGTTCGCTACCTGTATGCATGCTTTAAAAGTAAAAATGATTGATTTTTGCATTAAAATGCCAGATTTATTCTCTGTGGATCTTTTTTTCTGGCAATAAAGTAATGTTGTGTAACAGGAAACCAGAAAAAGTATTTAATCTTATTTGCGGATTGTTAAGAAAATTAGAAGATTTATATAGCTCATGTGCTTCTGATTTTTGAGTATATTCTTTTCATGTGACTATAGTTTCGATATTTAATCTTTTAGTGATATGTGTACTTAGTTTGGGGGTTAAGGAGCTGAAAGTATAGATTTTGACCAGTTTGCTTTTATATATCTTAGTATATGTGCTGCCGAAGCGAGTACAATTTGCTTTTATATATCTTAAAGTAGATAAGTTGGTGTTTGTAATGTCATGATTGCAACATCTGGTTTTAAAAAATTTTTCAAGTTGTTGGGAAGATTGGGTATAAACACAGTCAAGATACCAGGGCATTTTGGCAAGATTTTGACATAAAAGGCATCTAGATGGGAAAGGAAGAAGTAAAACTTATCTTTATTCCCAGATGACATGATCTGCATATAGAAAATCTGAATGACTCTACAAAAAAACAAAAACCAAACTGTCAACTAATAAATGAATTCAGCAGGGTTGTAGGATATAAGATCAATATACAATATTCAGTTCTAGTTCTGTACACTAGCAATGAATGTTTTGAAGTGAAATTAGGAAACAATTTCTTTTACAGTAGAATAGAAAATACTAAAATATTTAGGAATAAATTTAACAAAACAAGTGTAATTCTTATATACCAACAACTGCAAAACATTGTTGAAATAAATTAAGACCTAAATAAGTAGAAAGATACCCAGATATCCTACATTTATGGATTGGAAGACGTAATATTGTTAAGGTGGTAATACTCAGGGCCCTTGGCTTTCTCAGTTGGAGGAGCTTGTGACTCTTGATCTCAGGGTTGTGAGTTTGAGCCTCACGTTCGGTGTAGAGATTACTAAAAAAAACAAAAAACAAAAAAACAAAACTTAAAAAAAAGATGGTAATACTCCCCTAAAATTAGTATTTTGAGAAACTGTCAAACTATTTTATGTGAATTATCTCAATCAGAAAATAGTCAAGATAAAAATTGGAATAAAACTACCAATATGAGTTTAAGGTTCACATTATTTGGATATTCATGTCTTTTTACATGGAGGGATGAGTTGGACAAAGAGACTTTTAGAAATGTATACATGTATTTATAATTTATCATTCTCAAAAAAATCCACAGAACCTAATGGGAACCATTTAAATACTTAAAGTTGCATAACAAAGTTACAAAACTCTAAATGATATAATTTAAATAATAAAATGTATTAATTTACAAGTATAAAGTAAAAACATGTTATTCAAGTGCCATGCTTTAAATATTTACTTTCCTAAAGCAGGATAGTAGGAATTACTCATTAGGATGTATTCTACTGATAAATTTTACTTTACCTTTCATGAAAATACATTGCAGAAGTTGAAGTCAAAGATACGTAAATGAGATTATTTACTTCATTCAGCCAACATTCGTTGAGTGTGTACTAGGTGCAAAGGTGATTTTAACAGGCAGTGTATTAGGAAGAACATTCTTGTTGAAGTTCTTATGCTGGAAAACTTTTTCCTCCTTTTCTCTGGAGCCATAGAGGTTATTGTATTTGAACAAGAAAGTCAAGTCTTGCCTCTTTAGCTACAACTAGAAGCTGAACTACTGATGACCATCTTAGATAATTGGTTTCAAATCCTTAGCTGTAGAGAAAAGAGAAAGTATATGGATATTTTGCTCTGTTATCATCACTCATTTTTTTGGCTGCCAGTGCACTATTAGTAAGGTCATCCTGATGGAAGTGAAAGTTTGTGACACTTTATTAAAAATATATCTTGAGACTTTCAGTCAGTGCCCTCTAGTGGTCTTTAAAATTCCTTGTTTTATAGCGAGCATTGAAGCATTATGGTCACAACTCAGGCCATGTACATCTTAAGTCTACTCCTAGATCTCAGTGATTATTAAGACACACTGAAGCACTGCGTTTTCTTTATAATTATGAACCACTTAAAAATCGGGGGTTTACTTTTTAATTATGAAAAAAAATCTGTTGTGATAGTGTTGTGTCAAGTCTGTATGTTCTTACACAGCTGTTTGTGACCTGCTTTGGGAGTAAGTAAATCCTATGGGCAAAAAGCAGTTTTTTGTTTTTTTTTTTCTTTTAAACTAGGAATTCTAGGGGTGCCTTGGTTGCTCAGTCAGTTGAGCGTCAGACTCTTGGTTTTGGCTTAGGTCCTGGTCTGGCAGTTGTGGGATAGAGCCCCACCTCGGGCTCTGTGCTTGGTTGGTGTGGAGTCTGCCTCAGAATCTTTCTCCCTCTTCCTCTGTGTGCACGTGTGCACTCTCTCTCTCTCTCAAAATGAATAAATAAAATCTTTAAGAAATAAAAAATAAAAACTAGGAATTCTAACATATCTCAATTTTTAAATTTAATAGATTGATATGCTGCTGAAAGAATATTTACTCTCTGGAGACATATCTGAAGCTGAACATTGCCTTAAGGAACTGGAAGTACCTCATTTTCACCATGAGCTTGTATATGAAGTAAGATTACTTAATTACTTTGACTTTCCAAAGAGAATTATTAAGTGTTCCTTTTTGTACCACAATGACTTAATGCTTCTTTAATAGCATACATCTTTTTTTTTTTAATTTTAATGTTAAGGGAGTAGGTTGTTTTTAAATTTTTATAATGATTATAATTACATATCAGACAAAAGGAATCTGATACATTTAGGAGCAGTTTCTTTATATGAATTAATGACCAAACATTTGTTCATTCATTCATTCAATTTTTAGGCCATTGTAATGGTTTTAGAGTCAACTGGAGAAAGTACATTTAAGATGATTTTGGATTTATTAAAATCTCTTTGGAAATTTTCTACCATTACTCTAGACCAAATGAAAAGAGTAAGTATAACATTATTTTGAACAATTTTAGGCTTATACCTTAAATGTATAATGATTGAATAAAGATTATGAATTATCAGTGAAATGTTCTTTTAGTTATATTTAATATTACTCTGCCTATAGTTAGTTGTTTGTTTTTTTAATAGTTGTGATTATGTTTGACCTCTTGTAGCCGTTTCTTAAAAGTAACACTTTAGGGGCGCCTGGGTGGCTCAGTCGTTGGGCGTCTGCCTTTGGCTCAGGTCATGGTCCCGAGGTCCTGGGATCAAGCCCCGCGTCGGGCTCCCTGCTCAGCGGGGAGCCTGCTTCTCCCTCTCCCACTCCCCCTGCTTGTGTCCCCTCTCTCGCTGTGTCTCTGTGTGTCAAATAAATAAATAAATAAAAATCTTAAAAAAAAGTAACACTTTAGTGGGTTTTTTTAAGATGTGATTGTTCTTCCTCAAGAGTTCTGCTTTTAAAGATATGATAGTTTCTATTTTATATCTAGAAACAAACATGAATGTGATCTTTTAACATATATACTTTAAAGTATTTAATTTATTCCGATTTAAAATACTGGTGAGGTTCTTACTTGCCTTATACTTTTTGGAAGTCTAGTAAATGTATATAGAGAAGTAGATGGTGAAGAAGTATGTCCAGTGTCTGATGGATGTCTACCTAAACTCTTTTGAGAGAAGTTTTAAAGAAGACATTCTATGACAAATATACCTGCTGTCTATACTTTTCAAGGATCAGATCTGACTTCATTCTAATTTTATGAACAGTTAAGGCCTTAAATGTAGCTTGATGACAATGATGGGTTGTATGGCATTATGTATTTCATATGGCCTAACATTCTGTATATAATTTTATTGTTTTAGGGTTATGAGAGAATTTACAATGAAATTCCAGACATTAATCTGGATGTCCCACATTCATACTCTGTGCTTGAGCGATTTGTAGAAGAATGTTTTCAGGCTGGAATAATTTCCAAACAACTCAGAGATCTTTGTCCTTCAAGGTACTTTATTACTTTTTTCACATAAGATACTGGCTGAGTGCTTGGGAAGGCTAAGCTAATTTTCTGTCATTCCAGAAAAATTCTGGAATTCTGTCAGAAAAATAACATCTCCCCTAAAGCCACTCAAGAGTGAAAATCATCTATTTTGAGTTTATGGAAAAACAAGGGCAAAGCTTATTTTGCCCCCTTGTAAATCTATACAGGGCTACTTCATGAAGCCCTTGTTCACTGGAAGGAAACTAGCTTTGTGTAGTAGTTCTGTGTACCAGGCTCTGTTCTAAGTACTTGAAATATTATTTCAGAATAGATATTATCACCAATAAGAGGAGAAAATTGAGGTTTAAGGAAGTGTAGTATACTTTTCCTAAGGTCACACATGGTAGAGGCCAAGGATGAATCCAGACCTTTCCTGGCTTCAAAGATCTAGGCTCATTCCTGTACTCCATGTAACTTCCTTTTTCTCCTTCATGGAATGGAGAATTAAGGCTAATTGGATCTTATCTCATTGGAAAGTGGATGTGTGTGATTCCTTGGAGATGATATATTTGTGCTACTAGAATCTAACTCTTTAGGAGTTGCTGAGTTTTTTTTGTGGTTAAAATAAAGCTTATAATGAAGTTTATAAACAGATATGTTAGTAATAGCTAAACTTGAGTATGTGTATGTCTGCTTTATGTGCATTTTAAGTTTTTGTAATTTTTATCTGAAAAAATTGCAAAGCTTTGTTTTTATTGAAGTTGATTGTGAGAATTAAGTCTTAGAAAAAATAGTTCCTAATAGTGTCTTTTCCTCTAGAAAGCTTTGATAAAAATGTTTTAACATACAGATCTCTAAAAATACATATATAGATCTCTGCTTGGTGATGGTATCATTTATGTGCCAAGTGGTATACATCAGTAAATACTGTCAGCTTTGATAAGGTTCTTGATACTTACTGCTTTGTTCCCCATCTCAGTCTCTAATATTATAGTCTGAAGCCTTTATGTGCAGGAAAATGTAGCTGATTTCCACTTAGACTTAGTATGAAAAGGGGTCAACACCTTGGCACTAGCTTTTTAAACTTTTCAGCTTCTGTTCAGAAGTCTAACTGGTCATTTCTATTGTGGCTTTACTCTAAGGATCAGTTGAGGAGATACCTAAATGTTCTTTGTTTGCCGTAGAACTGTGACTTTTTATCCTCTACCCATTAGCTTATTTGGGTGAAGTGCACATTTGTATGTGGTCTTGAATGCTTGTGCATGTTGGTTTATGGTCAGAGAATGAGGGCTAATCCTGAGCAAACTCTGTTTTCCACTTACTGCTTTAGGCTCCTGGTCAACTATTTCTCCTGGGTTGTTGGCTACTGTGTATAGCTACATATACAGCATAAGTGTGGTTACATTATGAAGCAAGGTCTCTTGAGTTTGAAATAGTAGGAATTCCAAAATGGGGCACAGACTGCAATTAATTGGATTCTGATTTGTTTCTGCATGTACAGGTTATGGCTTTTCTACATTTGAGAAAAAAACTAAAAAAAATTTTTAAACATGGATATTTTCATAGGTTCTGTAGCTCTAGTTTGCATAATTCCAAGTCATGTTGGTGTTTCTTTGGCTCACTGTTTAGTTTTCAAATAATACTAATAACATAGTAGGAGTAAATATTAAAATTCTAAATAGCATGTTTGCTTTATATTTTAACTTTTTAACATGACTCTATTTGGTCAATAACTTATTTTAATAATTAAGCTTTTATTTAACTAAAAACTGCCTAGATTAGCGTTCATTTGATTTGTTAATATCCTAGGATATGTAGCCTTTGGGAAAGAGTCTTTCTCAAAAGAATTAGAGGTATGCTCACTTTTTTTTTTTTAAACAATGAAACTAACCAAAAGAACCCAAAGGTTTTTTTGGTTTTGATCTATAGTCAGAATTGGTATCCATTTTCATGCTTGTGTTCTTTTCATTACAGGGGCAGAAAACGTTTTGTAAGTGAAGGAGATGGAGGTCGTCTTAAACCAGAGAGCTACTGAATATAAGAACTCTTACAGTCTTAGATGTTATAAAAAAAAAAGTATAAATATATCTGAATTGTAAGAGTTGTTAGCACAGGTTTTTTGTTTTTTTGGTTTTTTTTGAAGCACTTGTTTTGGGTACAAGGCGTTTCTGAAATTTTATAAATCTACAATTTAAGGGGAATTTTTAAAGGAAGTGTTTTCTTTTTATCTTTTTCTTTTTTTTCATTTGAGGGTGTTAAGGAGGGACAGAAGAGTAACCACTTCTTAAGTGGAATATTCTCATAAGCTACCTTTTGTAAGTGCCATGTTTATGACCTAATCATTCCAAGTTTTGCATTGATGTCTGACTGCCACTCCTTTCTTTCAAGGACAGTGTTTTTGTAGTAAAATCACTGGTTTATACAAAGCTTTATTTAGGGGGTAAAGTTAAGCTGCTAAAACCCCATGTTGGCTGCTGCTGTTGGAATACTGTGCTTTGGGAGTAAAAAAAAAAAAAAAGTTATTTCTCTGTCTTAAAGAATTTTAAGAAAATGAGTTAGTCATAAGACTTATTCATTTTTCCAGGGAACATATTGATTGGTCTTAAAGACTAGACAGTTAAATAAATGGTGGCTGGAACATCTATTTTTCTACAAAACTGGAAAAATGAACCCGGTTCTTAAAAGAATGTATGACAAAATAAAACATGTGAAGCAGTGTTGATTCTTTATTGGGAGTACATATATTTTAGGTCTTTTTAAAAACTTTTATTTTACACAGCAAATTTTAAATCCTGTAAGGGAGCATATTTGAACCCAGTGAATTTAAATTTTGTTCTTTGCAAACTTTTAAAAGTACAGTAGTAAATTCTTTTAATATTATCTGTGGGAAATGCATACATACTTGTTTTTTGATCTTCTCTAAAGCTCAGTGATATTTTTAAAATATAATACGTTTCATCATTCTTAAGTTCTGTTACCAACTAATGTTTATGTTACAAAAAATTATTCTTCAGAGACTCAAAGTTTTTACATTTATCCAGTGTCTGAGAAGATAGTAGCTACCAATAAATAGTTCTGTTCTTATCAGTTTAATAATAGTTCTCTAAAGAATGATCACATTTCTAACCTCTTTTGCAGAGCCTAATTACTCAGCCAGGCCTCCAAGTCTATGCTAATTTAAATCATCTATTATTGATTGTAGCAACCAGCCAAGAATTATATTCAGATTAACAAACATATTCTTAGGAATATGCCCATTACAGGTTTAGGCAGTCTCTTAGAACTAAAACCCCAAATTTAATGTTCATATTTATCTCATGGGCTCTTTCAAGTCCGTATTTTTTTCTATTTTTAGGGTTTTAATTGTGTTTGATACCTGGATGATAAAGATAGCCCGGTAATTCTTTAGTCCTTAAAGTCAGTATCATTAAAAGCTCAGGGGACTACTTGGTAAGTGAAGGTTTCTTAAAGATCATATTTGTTTAAGAAATACAGTCTTGTCATTACTGGTAGGACCAGTTGGTCAGGCAAAATAGCCTTAAATATGAAACACAAAATTCATAAACAAGTTTTAAAATTAGATAATGTAAAAGCCCCAAAACGCTTTGTACGAGATTAGAATGTATCTTCAAGTTGTTTTTAATAAACATGTAAAGATTATCTGAATATAAAAGTTGCATTTAGTCACTTGTGCCTAAGAATGTTATCTGTGAGTCTTAACAGTAATAGGAATGGTGAAACAGTAATTTACAGTTCTAAAAACTTGGGTAAAAAAAAAACCAATAAAATTTGGGTTCAGTTTTTTAATTGCTCATGTTCAATATAAACCAGAGTGTCTAAATTCACAGGTTTCATTAGTCTTGGGTATTTTTATTTTATAAGCACTATCAGTTTTATTAACACACACCATCTTCAGTATACAGACGCAAGTTATTGTCTAGCTATTGTTAATAGTAATGCAGGGTATTCTGTAGAAGTGCAAAGTTACCATTCAGTGAGTTATTTGCTGTTGTTCCTTTTCTGCCATTTCTTGTTGGCGAATCGTATCCTGGGCTGCTTGCTGCATTTTCTCCAGTTTTTCCAGAGTCAGAGATTTTAAGGGCAAAAGTTTGGGTTTACACAGCACCATTGTGGTTATATCTTCCACTGACAACTGCCCTAAGTTTAAAAAGAAGGAATTTAGTGAGATGGCCCAGTTGTATGGTGGTTTGGATTTGCAGCTAGAATGAAGGTCTAAAAGAATCAATCCATTGTTAATGAAAACTCTTGTTTTCAGTTATTTCAAATATATCAACATTTAATTCTAGGGAGTTCATAAGGATGACATTTTGAACTTCCTAAGATTCTAAGCTACCTATGAGACACACAACATTTTGTATCAGATGTCTAGTCTGCAAAAAGATTTCGGAGAATACATAGTGCATATGAATACTTCCATAGTGAAAGTATGATATTAATAGTAATGAATATTCATTAACATGAATGTTTAACTTTAAACCATCAGCCTTTAACAATTGCTTGACTTAGGTTTCTTTCTCCCCACTTTCAGACCTTATTTAACATTAGTGAATTACAGTACTATTTTTTCACTGAAAATTTCATATTTTAATCTGCAAATTTGAGTATAACAGGATTTCTAGGTTTAAGAAACAGTGCTTCATTTGTCAGCTTTTTACTGGGGGAAAAAAGGATGAGTTCTTTATAATCTACTTCTAAAAGAAACATAGTAAAAGTGGACAGTAAATGTGGCATACAGGATACAAAATAGTTACAGATGTTTGGCTATTGAGCCTGCTATGTGCCATGCCTACTACTTTGTATTTTGGTCCCTATAATATTCTGTGACCTAAGTATTTGTGATTTAGATACCTTGTTTTGGAAGAACTTCCCGGAACACTGACTTCACTTCTGCCATATCTGAATTGTTGGATACAGCTAAGTTTTTTCCTTCAATGAGAAATCAGTTATTAATATTCAAGAATGAATTAACAAAGCATATTGCTTATTTCCATTGTAGTTTAAGAAGTAAAATCACAATTCCTATAGAAAACAAAATACCCTATCCTTGCATAATTTTCCCATTATCTTGTGGGTCTTTTCATTGAAACAAAGTTGAGAGAGTTCACGTAAGCATCTAGACCTTGTCAACATTCTTTAATCAGTGGAGGTGTCAATTTGGAAGGCTCCATGTTCTAAATTTTTTCCCCTTGTGAAAAATTAGGTAGGACTTCATTTTTTTTAGACATAGTTACCTAATAGATATCAGCTGAGGAAAACCAAAAGCATTTATGTGCGGCTATTTGGTTCAGTGATAGCATCTCCCTAAATGGTGGATGAGGTATAAAAAATTACCATCTGGGAAGTGTGGGGTAGGGCAGGTAGTTAGGAAAAAGGGGAGATAGTAGGTAAGTATTTTCTAACATTCCCACTTCTCAATAGCTAACAGCTGGTTTCTACTTTAATCCCTTTGCTGTAACGACAAAAAGCATCCTAAGGATTAGTTACTGGCTACACAGCTGACATTTGTAAGGAAGCAACACAAAGAGGTGAAACTGGCTCTTGAAGAACAGAAGTGAGAGGTTTGCTTTCAGTTTGCTACTTTCCTCTAATATAATACAGGGATACTATATGCTAAAGTGCCAGCAAATACCTTCATCTTGAGTATTTTGTTTAGATATCAGCATATATACCAACTGGCTAATGACATTTGTTTCCAGTGTTAACATTCCAGATTACTGCTGTGCTGTATATTCAAGGTGTTCTGGGCTGTAATTTGTAGCACAATCCTTTTCCAAACAGATGCTTCTCCAGACAGTCCCACCGGTTTTGTGATATTTCACCATAGTGATGCAACCTTACCATGTGCCTTTCACAACATCACCACAGAAGAAAGATTTATTATTATAAAGTGGTGATGCTGGCATGGCGCCTGTCTTTACCGCCCACTGCAAATTAGTTATAATCAAGTGAAGGTGCTTCTGGTCTCAGTTATTCCCACTCTACACACTTTGACATTTGTAATAAAATCTTCCTACTCTATCCACCAAGCTTCTTGTTCAAATTCCTATTCTGGAACATCTAAAGTTCCTGAGGAACCTCTATCCATTTTCCAGAACTTTGTCATTAAAATTTACCCCTACGCTGATCTTTTCGGGAGTGAAAATGAAATAGGGAATGGACCAGGAATGAAGCAACTCTTAACTGAATCTAAGTGCAATATGCAGCTTCCTTACAACACACAATTTCTTCTGCCACATTCTTTTCTTGTTACTTAGGCCTGCCAGTGGTACCTAGTAATCATTTCCCTTTTTTCCCCTCCAGATTATGTTGAAGGCTAATAGCATTGCAAATCCCTCATTAGTCTGAATATAGCTATAATAAAAAAGTCTCTCCATCAAAATAACACAATGAAAATATTTAGTAGGCCCTTATTTGGTGCACGTCTGACATGATACGCTGCCAAAAGGGAGGATAGATACTACAGATGTTGATAAATGTGAAGGAAATAACATTTAGTAGCTAAGAGTTTTTGTATCACCAAATTTCTTATCAGCAAGAGTGGATGAATACTTAATGTTTTATAGAATAGCAACTGCAGCTACTCAAAACTCAGCCACTATCCTTTGCTCTCTCTCCTGTATTTCTTTCACAGCCAAAATCTGGCTCCAGGAAAACAATGAAACTTGGTGCTCTACCAAACCTTAGTTCTCTGTTTCACTAAGCTGCCATTGTTACTGTAAAGGGTGTGGGGCCAAAGGCCTGGTAGGGAGTGGGTTGGGTCTGGTGTGGGGAAGATCAGAGCCGGCAGTCACTTGCCTGGGTGGAGTGTCTGCTTTACTAGGGTTGGTTATTGTTCCTAGGCTACCCGCCCCCCCCTCCCCGGGCATTGGCAGGAGAGAAACAGGAAGGGAAGGGCTAAAATAAGCAAGGTGGTGGTTGGATGGCCCTCATTGGCAAGGCTACATTGTCTTGATAATCAACTGCCCAGGGAGTCCACAGAAGTAAGGAGCATTTCTTTCCTTTACCTGGTGGCCTGCTAATAGCCAAACCTGGGTGTTTTGTCTGGTGTAATGTGCCCTAAGGAGTTGTGGTTGCTTCTAAGGGTACTTTCTTATTATGATAGGTAAGATATATGCAACATTAGGGACATATGGGTCAAAGAATAAACATACCAACCATGACTGAAATTCGTGTATCTTACAAGTGCCTTGTCATTCAGTTCAATAAATGTTTGTGTCTGGGAGCCTGGCTGGCTCAGAAGAGCATGCAACTCCTGATCTCAGTGTTATGAGTTTGAGTCCATTGGGTGTAGATTACTTAAAAATAAAATCTTAAAAATATGTGTCTATCATGTGCAAAGCACTGTTCATTAGTGAACAAAACAGATAAAACCCAAAACCTTTTGAAGCTTAACACTCTAGAGTAAGAGGAGAGAAATAATAGAATTTTGTAAGGCAGTAAGTCTATAGAATATAAAATAGTTTAAAGGAATTTAGGAGTGCTGAGGGGGTATTGTAGTTTAAGGAGGAAAATAATCATGGACTCATTAAAAAGGTGAAAATCACTGTGACGTCATTTTGGTGTGCATGTTATATTTTCTGAATTTGCAAAAAAGTCAAAAGCCTGATAGTATCCAGCGTTAGAGAAGGTATAGGGAAATGGGCATTTTCTGTTGGTGGGCGGGGTTTTTTGGTACAAATTTTTTAGAGGGATATTTTGTAGTATCCATTAATAATAATTTTGTATTATCTACTAATGCAAAATATGCATTTTCTTTGACCCAAATGTTCTACTCCTAGTAATAAGCCCCAAAGAAAACAATGCACCAGTATACAAAGAACTAAGAATAAGAATGCTCATTAAAGCATTGCTTTGAAAAGTAAAATGTTCAGCAGTATATCAAAGGTTAAATAAATTACGGAATAGCCATACAATAGACTACTATGTCAGATTTTAAAATGTTACATTTATCAAGGTATATTTTAAGAGAAAACATACTCAATTGCAGAAGTAAAATTCTTACACTACTAGAACCCAGACTTTTAATGCTTAGAGAATACAATGTCAATCATTTTTCAAGGCTCTTCGTCCGGGTAATTGGAAAATAATCTGCTTCCTCTTTCCCCATAGTTTCTTTAGTTTGTAATCTGTCTCAGAGATAATGGTTTTGATAGATAGTACATTTCAAAGTCATGACGAAGTAAGCAAAACTGTCAGAGCCACTGAGCTGGATGCCTAAAATTAATGCAGAAGAACTTGGAGGGAAACCAAATCTTTGTCATGAAAGATTTACTAAGCTGTAGGAGTGGGAGCTGAGAGACACTTTAGGAAGGATTACTACTTTAAATCAATCATACCCATATTCATAACATAAATTAATCTTACAACTTGGACAAGTTAAAAATTTCTGGGGTGATTTAGTTTGATACCTGATTTAATTATGTGTGGGACTGCACAAGAACACTAAAGTGTACTTCTGAACCCTGAGAATATATGTCAGTGGTCCTCAGATTTTATGCTTACATAACACCCACAGAGACTTTTAAAAACTAGATAGAAAAACTAAGTACCCCTTTAAACATTTCTAAATTGACATATGAATTTATCTTTAAGTTCAAGTAATTATAATTTCCAGCATATTTAAAAATACTGTTACATCAGTCTTTTAAAAACCTATCCAATATAATATGAATATAGAAATTTGACAGCTATTATCATCCATTAATAAAAAGAATGAAGAACTCTTTAAGTCAGAAATTTTATATCTTTTTCTCCTTAGACCTCTATTACCATTCCACTTAACTTTATTGTAATGTAATATATTTTCATGCTTACACATATTTTAATGGTTGATTTTCCTACCATATTTCTCTACAAAAATGTTTATAAATTTATTTACTATTTATTTATTTTTTAAAAGTGGGCTCCACACCCACTGTGGAGCCAACATGGGGCCTGAACTCATGACCCTGAGATCAAGACCTGAGCTGAGATCAGGAGTCAGACACTCAACTGACTGAGCCACCCAGGCACCCCAAGAATGTTTATGAATTTAAATGAAAACCAAAAATATTCTGGATTGAGTTATTACAATTATTAGTAAAAAATGAATCAAAACAATTTATATACACATTGATAAAATAATTACTGAAGACGAAAAATGAAGTTAGTGGCTATATATCTGTTAATAAGGACAGAGTTTTAAAAGTAAATACTGGACAGTAAAGACTGGAGTAGAAAGGATGTTCTTTTCAGGACAAGGGCATTAATTCTTTCAGAATGGAAAATAAACATTAATATAAGAGGAATTTGGGATCATATGTTGCTTTCCAAACACATTTTTTCTTTCAACAAACATACCAAATGTCTCTAAGTGCCAGCCACAACTAAATGAAGGAGATACAGTGGATAAGAACCGGTTCTCTTTGGGGAACTTGGGGGAGGTGGGTAGGGGAGGGAGAGACACACGTAAATAAATAATTATAAGTGAATACAACCTACTTTAATAAAAGCATGTGTACTGTGCCTTAAGAAACCAAAACCACAAGTAACTTGGTTGGTTTAGGATAGGTGACAGTGGCTAGTCTTTGAAGAACTACTAAATGTGATAGATAGTCCCACAAGGATGAATGGGGGTTTACTATGCAGAGAAGTAGCTGTGTAGCAAGGGGACAGTGTTCTAGACAAAGTGAACAATATGCTCAGAGTCATTAAAAGAAAAATATCTAGGCAAATGGCTAGAGAGTACAGGGTACATACAATATATGTATGGTGGTGGGACTGATAAGGTGGAGGCCAGTTCATACTCAGCCTCAAATGCCATGCCTCAGAGTTTGGGCTTTATATCCTATAGACAGAAGGGAGCTAACTGGATGGCTCTGAGTGGGTATATGACATGTGATTAGGTTTTTGGAAACACATTCTAGACAAAAAGGAAAAACAGGAGATACTAGAGGCAAGGAGATCAGTAAGGAAGCTATAATTATTTAGGTAAGATGATGAGAGTATGAGCAAAAGCAGTGATAACAAGCATCAAGAGGAGAAGATACAAAAGGTACTCAAGGATATAAGAAGTTGAGATTCAAATATCCTCCATTATTCCCCCTCATTCCCCACAACCTCTGGGTGATAAAGAAATGATCAAGGATGACTGAGATTTCAAGCTAACATTTTTGAGTGGCTAATGCAGAGAGGGAGAAGCAGGCTTCCCACTGAGCAGGGAGCCCGATGCGGGGCTCGATCCCAGGGCCCCGGGATCATGACCTGAACCGAAGGTAGATGCTTAACCCACTGAGCCACCCAGGTGCCCCAGGAGAAGAATCTTAAGCAGACTCCTCCATGAGTGTGGAGACTGATGTAGGGGCTCAATCTCACAACTCCAGCTGAACCTAGAGTCAGATGCTTAACTAACTGTGCCACCCAGGCACCCTTCTTAAATATATTTTTAAAAAAATATGATAAAGCAAATCTATTTCACAATATAAGTCAAGGCTGAGAAAATGTGGACAAATTTTTAAGCTGGTGGTAAAGAGTAAAAACCTTTAAAATTATAACTGAGGGAATGGAAGCTTACTGTACATTAGAATCTATCCTGAATTTTTGATGGAGATGACAAGTGGCTGTTGCCTAACCTAGAAAAATAAATGCACCTGAAATATGGCAAAAAACATTTCTAAAGTATTTTCAGATTCTAGTCTTAGTATCAATCCTGTTTTCACATAAGAAACACAGGTCATAAACTGGTGGCCCTTGGTCCTATCCAGTTAAATGTTTTGCTGGCTTGCTAAATGTTTAAAAAATATTTGAACCAATGTTTTAAAATTAGAAGTCTTCATATAAAGTCCAAATTTCAGGTCCTCTTGACAAAACTAGCAACACTGGGCCCATATTCCTGCATGGCAAAATTCGGCTACAGCTGGGAAGTAATGTCCCATTTAGATGAACATGGGGAGTTCTCTAGTCCCCTCTACTGCCTATTGTTCTCTTTCCCTTATCATCCCCATTGCTACAGGCACTTGACTTCACAACTTCAGTAGAATACAGAACCACTATAACACATTATATGCCAAATGCCCTATTTTATCATTAATAGGTATTAAGAAACAAAAATACAATCTTTGAGAACTGAGGGAGGCACAGAAGCAATCTGTTTATGTAAAGGACAGTAGAGGATATTTTTTGGTGACTATTTACGAATTTAGATCCTTTTAAGTAAATTCAGTCTGCCTATTACAGGTTGTGGATGGGGGTGGCAGGAATGGTAGGAAAAATATGAACTATTTTGTTTTATTCAAGACTTTTGATAGATGAATTTTCAAACACATATTACATTTCTGAATGTAAACTAACATGAAAAGGTGAAAGAGGGGGTCCCAAAAGAAAGTGTTTTTCAGCAGACATAAAGTAGTAATGTTCATTCTCACTCACGTGGCTGCCCACATGCTAGCAGAGCTTAATCTGGACTGATAATATTCATCTGGAGATGCCAAATAACATCATATGTCATGTGGTTGGAAACTATAGTAGTTCTATTCTGTTTTGCTATCTGGCATCTGCTAGTAGAAAAATGTTGCAACATGTTCAATTTGGCTAATTAATTTAGACTCATGTGAGTAAAATGTGCGGTGTCTAGCTTCTGAACTGTGCCTAGGCCTAAGAACAGCGACTGTTCTTGGATGAATCTGGATGATGCCACTGGTTCTGGTATACTTCACCAGCAGACACTACTATTAAGTTAATAGAAAATGACACATCCTACTCACACAAAATACCAGATGGCCAGCAGTTGCCTTGGTATCTGCTTTGATAACATCAAGATTCATCTGTCTTTGAATTGCAGGGCCCACACATCTTTCATCAACAGTCCTCAGGGTGCCAGGACTTGACACTCATGAAACTGTGCTGACATCACTACACTGCTGCAGATTGCATCACATCAGCTCCAAGTGTTGGTGAAGCAGCAGCCACACTTCACTACAGGGAGACAGTCCAGGACACTAGCACTTGCTCTCCACAGACAGGAGGATTAAATGCTAACTCTTCTTTGTAGGATACCAAGGGTGTGTGTGCAGAGAAGTGGGATGGATTTAACTAGCAACTCAGGACAATGGTAGATATAGTTATATTTGCGAAGGCTTAATCATTATTGGTGAAGTATGAATACTGTGAAGTATTCTTGCAAAATACTTTACATGGAATTTAATTAAGCCTCTACATCAACTTCTGACTTATAAGAAATAAGAAAAAAGGGAACATTCAAGAACACCTCTGGCCTGAACTCTTTAAAATGACAATGTCACAGGGGGAAAAAAAACGATAGGGAAATTGTTCTAGATTAAGGCTAAAGAGTTTTAACACCCAAATACAATACATAAACATTGACCGGATCCTGAATTTTGTTGGAGGAGCAGGGGAAAAGGTATAAAAGATATTCTTGGGTCAAAAGAGAGAATATACATACAGAGTAGATTTTAAACATCACAGAATTATTAATTTCCTTAGTTGTCATAATGATACTTTGTTTTTCAGGAGAACTTTATAATTCTTAGGGAATACGTTTTGGAAATTTTAGAGGTGTCTGCTTAACAACAAGTGTCTAACCTATTTCCAAATAGTTTAATGACAATGAAAAAAGCATGAGAAAGGATGAAATAAATATGGCAAAATGTTAACTGTTGGATCTACGTGAAGGGTATATGAATGTTTATTATAGTCTTTCGACATTTTATATGTATGATTTTTTTTTTTTAATTGAGGGAAGAAATCATGTTGGAAAGACTTGAGAGGGGCAATCTAATAAGAGGTTGAGTAACAAGAACTACACTGAATTTAATCAACTGAACTACACTGCATTTAATCAACTGAATCAAGCTGGCAATGTCTTAGGCACCTGGGAAACACCAAATATATTCAATCTTTTAGTAAGTATTTACCAAAATCATATGTGCAGGATAACATGATAGGGAGATGAAGACAAACCATTCTATTAAGATGTAAACATAGCAGTAAAGCTAAGAACTTAAGCAGCTGTTCTATAAAATAGTGGTTGTCATAAAAGAAGTACAAAAAGTGCTAGGTAAGCACAGAGTAAATTACTTCCTGTTGCAGAGAATCTGGAAATACATCTGCAAGGATAACTAGGACATGGAAACAGAGTCACAAAAGGTTAGTGCTTCAGTGATTAATCTTGGAAGAAACAAGAATAGTTCATTTTGGCTCAAGCATGAGTAGTATGGAAACAGAAAGAAATTAAGTAAAGAAGGTAGGTTTGCACCTTTGTTGACTGGCTGGGTAAATACAATTTCAGTTTACCTGAAAGTTCTCCTGGTCTTTTTCCCGGCAACGTTAGGCATCCAACCCAGTATTACCAAGATGACTCACAGTTCTTGACTCAAGCCTACAGAAGAAACTACATGAGATAATATGAGAACTCTTGAAAAAAAAAACCATATAAAAGTATTACGGTATTTTTAAGAATATTCACAAACATTAAGTTGTTTAATAAAATGTAGGCGTGGAGGATAAGGACGGTATAGCTTCACCCAGAAATGCAGTCATTGCTTTTAAGCCCCCAAAGGAGGAGAAACAAAAGAAGAACATTCCTAATGTTAAGACCGGAGGCGGGAAAATAAGACTCAGAGGTGTTGCCGAGACGGTGGCGGACCACCTTCCTCCTTTCTAGGTGGTAACGGAAAACGATTTCCACAAGCTCCAGAATTCTCCGTCCTCCAGAGATCGGGGTGAAAGCACTTAATAGGAACTTAAGGGGCGCGGTCAGGAGCTCCATGTTGCGGGAGTGAGGAGCTCCGCCCTGCGGCGCGCGCCTAAGCCCCCTTCGGACCCGGCCGGCTGCAGCTGGGCGCGAGGGGCCGATGGAGCGGCCTCGCCCCACAGGGAACCTCAGAAGGGCGGGGGTAGGGCGGGCAGGCCAGCCCGGAAAGAAAACCTTCTTCCAGCGGAAGCGGCTGCGAGCCCCGCTCACCTCCTCGGCTCTCCGTCTCCCGCGGGCCGTCTAGCTGGGGGCTGCCTCACGGGACAGGACGGACGGACCCTCACCTCACTTTGCGACTCCAGCTGGAATGGGCATTCCCTGGGGTGCCGGGGGCTCTGGCTATTCCCACCCTTCCGCCATGACCCCATTCAGAAGTGCCAAATGCAACTTCCGGGCAGGACAGGGATTTTCGGAACCCTAACCTCTTGTCCACCTAGGTAAGTGACCAGACGTCCCAGCAAAATAAGGGCCAGGAAACCTGCTTCTTCCTCTCCCCCATCCTGGGCAGGTAGTTCTGAATATGAATTAAGTTGTCTAACCTGGGATGTCTGGTCACCTTTGGTCCTTTTTCGGGCCTACTTACAGATTTATCTTCCCAGACGGCTCGACTGTTGCCCAGGGCAACGGTGAGATTTGGGCGAAGGGAAAACTACGTCACACTGGAGACGGGAGGCCAGGAAATTCCCTGCCATTATCAGTTATGGCTGCCTTAGCTTCAACAGTAACTTCCGATTGCTAGTTTGTCACTCTACCCTGCTGGAGGCTTACTCTGTGGCTCCGCTTGCCAGCGGCACCCAGTGGGCAGGAGAAAGGGCGTAGAGCAGCTGAGGAAAGGAAAAGGGCGGAGCGAGGGAAGCTGGCGCCAATGTCTCACTCTGATTGGACAGCGTCGTTGGCGCCAGTGCCTCACTCTGATTGGGCAGCGTCGGTATGCTTGGCTCCGCCTGTTTTTCTTCCCCAGCGAGTGACGGGCCTGCGCCGGAGGGGTGGGGCGGGGCGGTAGGAGCCAGAGTGTGTGGAGGGGCGGGCGGGGCGGGGCGGGGCGAGTGGGGGAGGGGCGGGCGGGGGGCGGCGGTTGGGCAGCGTCGCTTCTAAGGAGGAGGAGGAAGGAGGGCGAGCGAGGAGGATGGCGGAGTTGGGGCTCCTGACGGTAACCCGGGGCCGCTGAGGCGGGAGGGTGGTTGTTAGTCGGTTCTTCCTGCCTTCCTTCCTACCCGTCGGGCGGTCCCGCTGGCTGTCGATAGGGGGAGGCCCCGCGCGCCCTGGGGGGCTAGAGCCGGCGGGGCCGGGGCGAGGCCCGAGGGGCTGGGGCCCTGGGAGGCGCCGCCGCCGCCGCCGCTTTCCTGGGTGCTGTCGCAGGGAGGGCTGGGCCCTCGGAGCCGGCTCTCGTGCGGGTCCCGCAGCCGGGCGCCGAGAGTGAGCCGGCCGGCTCTGACAGCGGCCGGGGCCGGGCCTGCGGTGGCGGCGGGCGGGCGGCCGGGGCAGCGCCCGGGCGAGGGCGCGGGCCGGGGGCGCCGGGCGGACGGCCCTGCTCGGCTCTGCCCCCGGGGGCACCTGGCTCAGGCTGCGGCGCGCCCCGTGGGCGTCCGGGAGGCGTGTAAATCGGCGGGGGCCTTGGCGCAGTGCTAGTGGTGGCGGGGTGGGGTATTTCCTCGCCCGTTCCCCAAAGCCCACCACTCTCTCCCCTTCTTCTGTCCTTTCGGTGAAGAGTGGCGAGTTGGCTTTGGGTATGTTGCCTGGTGAGGCGAGTTGTAGGCATCCAAGACCGCCCTGTTGGACTTGCTTGGTGGCAGCTTCTTTCCGCGGTAGCTTTTAGGAATAGAGGAAAAGTACTCTATCTCCTCCCCTCCTCCCCTCCTCTTCTGCGCCGCCCCCCCCCCCCCCCAGGTCTTAACGCTGGAGGCTTCAGGACCAAACGATTTTCCCCCAGCCCCTCAGTATCCATTGTTTTGTACCATCCCCCTCCCCCGCCCCAAGCCTAGGTAGAAGCAGCATGACTTCAAACCCTTAAGTGCCCCCTCCCCCCCGTTTTTAGATCAGCAGAGGTTTTGTGTTATTATGCTAGTACGGATTTACAAACAGGTGGAATGAATACCGATTCGGGAGTTGGAAAAAAGATGCTTTTTTTGTGTGTTTTTAAGCTTTCAGTCCTTACAGTTGGTGATTTGATTTTGTCTGTAGCTTTGTATCTTAATGGGGGTGATGAGAATAAAAGAGGAAGCAATGTTTTGCAACCTACCCAAAGAAATGTTTTTTAAGTCTCTGGGGATGCTGAAGCAAAATTGGGTTGTAGATGTGTAACTGTATAGTATTTGCTTCCATCATAACTACCAACAGTCTGTAGCTTTCACCTGTGCAATTTTTTTTACACTTCATGAATGTCAGCTTCTAGTATCTACTGAGAGGGATTACTGTATCTAAACTTATTTTTTGTTCTTCAGAATCCTAGGGTATACTTGTGTAACCAAGTATTTTTGTATTTAAATGTAGCATTAACACTGAAAAATTACCTTATTTTAAAGACCTCGGTTTATTAGTGTACTAATTTCTACCCTGGCCCTTCCTTCCATGCCATACCTCTTATAACTGTTAATATGTATTTGAAGAAACTTAGCTGTTGGGTACAATTTGTAACATTCATACATGTATAGTTTGAATTTATCAAGTGTTGAAGACCTTCTATGTGACAGTGACAAGTATTTTTAGAAATTCTATATATATATATAAAACACCATTCTCTACCTATGGAATTTAGATTGAATATGATAAATCTTTTTAAATACTTATTTGGACATAAGGTACACTGAAGCTTTTATTTAATTATGAATATACATTTGAAAAATCTTAGATAAGTAAAGGCTTTAAGGTTTGTAACTTTCAAATGGCTTAAATATAAAGCTAACGTAAAACTATATCCTTGAAATGCCAGTTTTGAGGGGTGGACTTAGCCTATCTGTAAGATTACTACTTTTTCTTAGGGTGTTTGTTTAGTTTTTGAAGAAACAACTACATTTACTCTCAGGTTGGCATTTGCTTATTGATCTCTCATTGTTAATACAGTTTTCAAGTGTTTTGTTAAAAGTTGTTACGGATAAAAGAGTGATATTAAGAGATCTATTAATAGCTTGCAGCTAGATTTTTAAAAAGTTTTTAAACTACCATATTCAGAAAGTTGATCAGAGCTATGTTTTGATAATTGTAGCCAGACTTGTAAAAAAAACAACTTGTGATTTACAAACCAGTTAGAAGTTTGAAACAAAAGGAACACCAAAATGATAAATTCTAGTGTTATATTGCTGGAATTGTGCTTTTTAAGTATTACTATTTCTTCAGTGACTTGGGACAGGCCTTGTCCCATGTTCAGTGAGACATAAACTAGAATTCTATGTGGAATACTCCCAAAGATGCCTTCTGAATAAGCTGCTGGGGGGGGTGTATGTGTATTTTTTATTTATTTATTTTTTAAAAATAATTTCTACACCCATCATGGGGCTTGAACTCACAACCCCAAGATCAAGAGTTGCATGCTCTTCTGACTGAGCCAGCTGGGCGCCCCTCTGCTGGTATATTTTTTGACTTGCCTTACCCATGTGGGGGAAAGGTAAATAATACTGAATTTCTTTGTTATCCAGGCAGTCCTATTTGTTTTGAAATGCTGGATTATCAATATCTGTTGTGTGTAATTTAATATTTCTGTAAGACTTGTGTTCTTTAAACAATTTAATTTTTAGATTTTTTCTAGTAAGATATTTAAATATAAAAATAAACTTGTGTTTTTGATTAAAAATAAACCTTAATTTGTTTGTGCAGATATAAGGATGAGTATTTTTTGGAGGTTGAAAGAATATATCTTTAGAATTCAGTTTACTATATTATGTATCATTTACGTATCATTCATGTATGAAAACAAAATCTATGCTTATAATCAAAAAACCAAACAAGAGCAGCACCCCTCCCCCCCCAACAAAACACAGTAAAACCAAACAGAATGACCTGTAAATCCTTCAGTGAGTTCTGAGGTTTATGTTTTGACCTTGGTGGAAGTGTTCTTGAATTAGTTTATAAAATATCAGTTCAGGGAGGAGAGGAAATTTAGATATAGAATAAACACTTTCCTAATAAGACTAGTAGGGAATTGGTAAATATTTTGTTGTGCATAAATTAGATAGAAATTAGCTGTAATTTAGCAGCAGAGTGATATATTAAGTACTTTCACGTGGTACGTGAGAAATGAGTACTGCAGATATTAAATCGGTTGCTTTTTTGCTTATTGTTAGACTTATACTTCATGCATTTTATATTATGTATTGGCATATTATAATTTAAGGCTAAATCTTGCATAGGCTGAATTATAAAAAAGTTGCTATCCCTGTGTTCTGAATTTTGTTTTGTCTGCTAGTTATACCACATCAAATTTAGGCCATATAAATCTTTCTGAAAATATTTTCTCTCTGACAATATACTAGTTAAAATTTTGCATTTTCCTAGCTCTGTTTACACTGACTTTTAAAATCTGAAAAATTTTTAAGTCACAAGGTGACCTATGGAATGCTTGAACTTTATATAGAGTGTTCTGAAATGTAATTGCAGTCAGTGAAGGTTGAAAGAAACAAGGATAAGTTGGAAAAACTGATTTATGTTCTAAAATACGTAATTGCATTATTTTTTAGGTAAACTAATGCTCATTCCTTGGTACTTTCCCCTGGTTCCCATCTTTTTAGTACAGCATCTTTAATTCTGCAAATCAAAATTGTAATACATAAAAAGAATATTCTAATTACAAGGGGCTCTTTAGCTTTTGAGATGTTGGTAACATATGTGCTTTCTGAGAAAGTATGAAATTCCCATTATCAAGATTTAAAAGAACTAATTAGATTTCACACTATATATCTCATTCCAACTTCTCTGAAGATCAGAACTGATTGCAAAAAGTGGTGCATGTTGTAAAAGGTAAGGGTTCTTTTATCAGAAAGAATGAACATACTGCTTGAAGCTAAAACATTAAAGGAGACCTTAAAAGTGGGTAAAATTGGTCCCTATGTGAAATGAACCTGAAAGACTTTGATGAAGTATTTTGGCTTGTCTATCTTCTAATGTTTATAGCACTGTGAACACTTAAAATTTAAGCACTTTATTTGCCCTCAAATACTATTTGTAAATTCTACAATTTTAATTAAGTAATTTCACAGTTGATAAAGAGAAATCTTTTTTCTTTTGGTTTTTCTAATGTCTTGGAGGTAAAGTAGAAATTACTTGTTCTGACAATGATGAGATTAACTCTAAATTCTAGATATCAGTTAAATTTGCACTTTCTCAGTTTCCAGTTTTGTGTTGTACAAAACTCCTTCCTGCTTTCAAGACTGTCACAGTTTTGTAAATAGTTAAGTTAACTTTAAAATTTTGTTCTGTAAATATTTCTTACTATAATTTCACAATGTCATTGACCTTCTACTAAGTGCCATGTATGTCCCAGACTGAGGATACATAGATAAATGTTTTCTGCTTTCAGAAAGTTCAGTTTGTTGCCTGAACTGTACAAGTCAGTAGTAAATTATTTTACAGTGTGACAAGTGCTTTGATAGCAGTATATGCTGGAGAACTCAGATGAGTTAAAACATAGATTGCATGTATAACCAGCAGTGCTTGCTGGAGGATAGGACTTGAACTAACTCTTGAGGGATAAGTAGGAAAGAGTGGACAGAAAAAGCATAGAAGTTAGAGATGTTAAGGTCCATTTGGAGAATTGCAGGTGAATAGCAATTTGGATTCTGTGTATGATTTAGTATT